TAAGGGATACTCCTCCAGCAACCCTCTTCAAGCCTCATCTTAGTTCTTCACCCCTCCGATTTCGACAGTTGAAGATTGATTAAGGATTACGCCCACTGAAGAGGGGAAGAATTCGTGTGACGAAGGAGCTCGCACACGTGTCGTATTTTATACTGCTTCTATTTTGGCATTAAATATGAGTATTTACTAAATAACGACCAGTTCGTTTTAACGACTATTTTACTTTACTTCAGTTTTTAGTTTGTTTTTTTTTTATACTTATTTTATCATTAAGTATGATTATTTGTTAATAACTATAAGCTCGCTATAACGCCAATTCCATTTTTTATTGTCAATTATCGTTATAATGGATTTTTATTGTAGAATATTATTAAACAATGTCAAAAATTAAAATTGGAAAAAAGTCAGATATTTAAAATTTGATTTCTCAGAAACTATTCAACCGATTTTTTCCAAATCCAATACTTTGTCATGCAAAATTACTTTATGTGAAAGATTGTATACTTTACAATTCAAAACTTTGTCCACTAGTATTAAATACAATGAAAAATATTATAAATATTAATTAAAAATTATTAGACGAAAAAAGTGTATATTTATTCAGAGAAAGAGAGCTTGCGTGTCTGATTTCATAACTTAATTAATAGTAAACACTAATTAATTATAATATTCGTGATCAACCTTCCTAAATCATTAAGAACCAATTGTATGCAAAAAATTTGATAATTGGAACAAAAGTTATTTAGGATATTTGTTCTTTTTTCTTTACTTGTGCCTTTCTTATCAACCTTAAAAGCTTAAGAATTAACTAACATAAACCGCATTATACTTTGTTAAAATTGTTTTAGGAAAATCCCGTCAACATAAGAAATTATGCTTTTCTACAAATAGTATGCTATTTTTGTAACCACTGCAAGATGCAACAGCTAGACTGGTAGGTCCAGTTAGGTCTATCTTTAACAAACGCCCTTTATGCTAATTGTGAAAATGGCGAAATACGTAACTGTGAAGAAAAGCCTTAGTTTTGGGAAAATGAAAAGTGTGGGTGATCTATTTTTTTAATATTGATGATATATTTTTTAATATTAACAATGTTTAATAATATTCTACAATAAAGTTGTCCCAACACTGTCATATGTTAGCTTTTAAAAAATTTCAAATATTGAGTATTATTCATTAATTTTGATGCATTTCGTCTAAAATAGGGTGACTAGACGTCCTCAAATCTTAAGGACAGTCCTCAAATTTCCTTTATTGTCCTCAAAAAAAATTTCTAACTCTTTGAGGACAAATTTTTTTCTCACATTTAAACATGTTTCTCTGAAGTCCACAAAGTCCTCTGAAAACATAATATTTTATATGCAGTGAAATATCAAAAAAAAAATGAAAAAAAAACTTGAAATGCGCATGTTTTTCTTTTTTTTTTTTAACAATATGGTATTATCTTACAGAGAATACAAACGAAAAGCAAAATAAGCCCCATGCTAAAGAGGGAAAACGGTATATATGCTCGTCTTTAAATAATTTCAGCAAAGAAATAAACATATTTCATTAATCATGCACTCATTCGTTTTACATGCTTTCAAATACAGAACATTGTGTTATATTTTAAAAGTGTTCAGTAATAAAGAAAATGGTTCAGCCAAACAAACAAAAAATCTTTGTTTCACATAAAAATTAATATTTTTCATAAATATATGGGTATTTTCAAATCATAAAATTTTTCGAGGACGCTCCTCTGATTTGTCCTGAAACCACAGTTCATATATTTGGTCACCTTAGTTACCAATTTTTTTCGGTTACAGAACCCTAAATAATCGAGCATTTTTTATTCGGAATCCTTAATATATTAATATAATTCATTAACACCCGTGAACATATTAACCAAAAGTAGACTATTTATTATTTTCACAATATGTATTTAATGTAAAAAATGGAGCAGTGGTGGGTCAGGGGATAGAGAGTTCGCCTTCCAGTGTGATGAACCGGGTTCGAATCCCAGCGATGGCTGGTGGATACGATTTCCTCATCCGGCTTGCACCGACCACGGTGCTGGCGTAAAATATCCTCAGTGGTAGACGGATAGTGGATTAGAGTTCCCTTGCGGTAGAGCTAACCGTGAAATTTTTTCGTGGTTTTCCTTACCATGTAGCGCGAATGCGGGTTAGTTCCATCAAAAAGTCCTCCACAAAGGCAAATTTCTCCCAATACTTCATCCAGGAGTTCCCTTCTCTTCTGAATTGGGTTCAAAATTACAAGGATACGAAGTTGAACATTAGTAGTCGTAAACCCGAAAATTGGGTCGGCTGTTCAACGACGGTTATATTATAAAATAAAATGGGAAGAAGGAAAATGCTTTTCAACGATCGTTTTTTTTTCCAATAAGATTCTTAAAATAATAGGTTTTTATAACAAACAGTTAAATTCCTGGGACTGGAGTTGTATCTAGTCTAGTTCTGAATTTGTCTTGATGACTAGCTGAATAAAATAAGCTGAATTTATACTTCTCGAAAAAAAAGGAAAAACTCTTCTAAACGTTTAAAATGGTTATCATAGAAACATAATTCATTATTCTTAAATTTGGTCATTTTATTTTGAATTGAAAAGTTCGACGAGATATACTAGTGCAATTTTTATGAATTTTGCTATGACTTTCTTTTATTATCATTTTACTTAATTTCCTAAAATTAACCAAACTAACAAAGAAATCATGGTTTATGGTTTTGATATAAAAACTTAATTGCAATTTTCAAAATCATTACTGATTTTAAAAATTTTAACTCTCAGAACCCCAGTGACTCTTCCCCGCGGAAGATCCGCGGAACACAATTAGTGAAACTCTGGTATCGAGGATAAGAATTTCACCTAATTAGCAATTTTTAAAAAAGTTTGATAACTTTTAAAATATATAAGTTCTGTTCTAAAGTCGACATAATTTTTACAGCAAGATTGTTTATATAGTTTAAATCATAACTTTACATCATTTACCATATTTACTGCATTTAAACAGCTTATTTTCCTTGGCGCATGCGCAATAAAAAACACTGTTAAGCCTTTTTACTTACTGTCTGATTTCGAATTGCGTATAATCTTGGCCTGGCAGACGATCGCAGTCAATAAAAGAACAAAACACGATACCAACCGGGGATCCATGTTAAAAATTAAAGCAGAAAACAGATATATTTCTGTTTCTTTTTATATTAAGAGAATATTACAAGTGTTTTTCACTGAAGAATGTCATACATTGTCTTAAAGAATATTTTTTTCCCATTCTTCGAGTATTGAAATGTCATGGAAAATGTTGACATTCGAACATATGTTTTATGACATTTAAGTTTTATTTTTAAAAAAAGGAAACACTGAAAAATAGAATCTATTACATTCTTCTACTTTTTTGAAATTTAATAAAAAATATTTTTGAATATTTCATTTTGGTGGAAATTTGTGCGACGTTAACATTTAAGTAGAGTAATTCTCTATTATTTAATTTATCATTTTAAAACCAAATTCTGACAAATTTCTATTTTTCATTGAATAGTGTTATAACGTTGACACAAAATTTTTCTACACTCTGTAATACTCAAAATGAAGAGTTTATGGACAGTATAATATAAGTCACATTTCTAAATTTATTAGAGAGAGCTTTTCGTGAAAAATGGTTTTCCGACGATTTCCATGTAAGCACTGTGTTTTTATTTTTTGTATCATGCTGTTATTTATTGAAAATTCCGTTAGTCTTTCAGACCATTTACCTAGAAACAATACTAAAGAACAGTTTAATGTAAAAATAGCACCTTTAGAAAGACCTTTAAATGTCTAAATATTAGCGAGATCTAAATTTTTAATCAAGTTGGATCCTTTTTCATTAGATAAAATGATAGTAACAATTTTGTCCCCAAAATTTTTTGCCATAATATTTTTAAAGCAGTTTAAGAGCGAAACTGATGCGATATTGCATCAAAAAAATTTATCTTACTTAATAAATTAAACTTATTTAATTTTGACTAACCTAATAAAAATCATAAAATCGAATGAAAAATTCGATACAATTTTTAAAACATCTACTTCATGCAATAAATTATAAGTAAATCAAATACAAGTTTATTTGCTTTTCGCCTATATTTTTTATTCTTCACTATTCTTAATTATTTTTTAATCATTCGAGTTTTAAATCGTTTATAGGATGATTTGGAGTTCAATTTCTAACTCTTACTTGAATAGTTTGGAAATCAGTTTCTAATTATTAATTAATTCATTCGAAATTGCGTTAAGAGTCATTAATTAAACTTAATTATATACTATTGATTGAATAACTTAAAAATGAATTGTATTCATTCAACTCATTTGCTAATGAATTACGAATTATTAATTGTATAATTTTGAGCACAATTTTTAACTATCGACTGAATAATTTAAAAATGAGTTTCTAATCATCATTTAACTCTTTCGGATTTATGTTTATTATTAGATTCGGATTTTTATTAGATTATATTCGGATTATTTTGAAGAATTTTGAGCTCAACTTCTGAACATGAATTGAATAAATTGAAAATGATTTGTAAATCACTAATTAACTCATTCGGAATTGTGTTAAGAATCATTGATTGAGTAATTCGAAGTTGAGTTTCTAACTAATAATCAAGTTATTTCGAAATAAGTTGCCAAAAGAGAAAATCGGAATTCGGTTAAGAATCATTTAATGGTTAATTTGAAGTTGAGTTTCTAACTATTAATTCAATGATTTAGATGTGTCTTGCCAATCATTAACTAGATTTATCAGAATTTAATTAAAAGCCATTGTAATTAGATAATTTGAAGTTTAGTTGGTAATAGTTTATATGAACCAAACAATGTAATACGGATTTTAAAGCTTCAATAGATCTTCTACAAATAAAAATTATATATTTTAATTAAATGTTTACCACTTATGTTTTTAAAATGGCCTATTTGCATTTTATTACTTTTTAACAACGTTTATGTTACATTTGATTTAGTTGATTTTGGAACACTTCTCAAAAAAAAGTAATGCTTAGTTTCTTTCTAAGTAATAGTAATAGGAGTCACATAAAATTTTCTGACCATCTTGTTGTTGCATTGTATTTTTGACACTTTGCTGTAAAGAAAGAAATAGTTATGCATAGTACCATGAAGTACAAAAAAAATATTAATTTCTATTTTGTTATTACTAAAATATACTCATTCGAATCGTCTTTCAAACTTTTTACTTAAATATGATCATAAAAACCATGATTTAATGATGTGGTAGTATATTATGCTAATTTTATAATAGAAGGAAAAATTAATTTTAATATTCAAATTATTGAAATATCACAAACAATTCTTTAAAAACGTAAATCATAAATTAATAAAATGTATACAAATTTCAAACGTTATGATCAACAATTCTAGTCATTAATAAACAGTATTTTGTGAACATTACAAATCTTATGCGCCAATTAACAATATTTATTAGTATTGCAAATCCTCTATACAGCGTAACAATAATTATACTCATAAGAAATATACAGATATTCAACGTTTATACAAAATACAAAAACATCTATACAAATTTCAAACGTTTTGATTAAAAATCTTATTCATTAGCAAACAGTATTTTACAAATACAGTCAAACCCCGCCATAGTGAACACGACTTATAGTGAACTCCCGGATATAGTGAACGAAATGCTCGGTCCCGTACCTTGCAATACGCGTATAATGTTATTTTTAGTGGATATAGTGAACCAAAAAAGTGAGGAAGTTGGATATAATGAACTTTTTTCTGTCTTCGACTGATTTCCCCCCCATTTTCTTTGCAAATAATTTTGAAATTTCTACTTCAAAATAAATACATATACCGATTTTTAAAACCATCTATAGAAACTACTTTTATGTGCTCGAATGGCAGGTTAGACAGGTTTAAAAAGCGGAATAACAGAAATTCAGGAAAAATTATCTGAGAGTCGGGAAGTGTTTCCATATCTGATGTTGAGGATTGCTCATCAGCTAAAGATTACTAATTTTTATTTGTACGCAAGACGAAGAGTGATGAAAAATAACACATTTTTTGCTACTACATAATATTTTTCAGTCATTTATATGAATATAATGTAATAAAGGGGAGGAGTTTGGGAACCATTAGTGAAATTGCCTGCGTAACGGATATAGTGAACTCCCGGTTATAGTGAACCGAAATTTCGGTCCCTTGACGGTTCACTATAGCGGGGTTTGACTGTATTACAAATCTTATTCTAAAATTAATAATATTTACATACATTACAAATCCTCTAAACAGCGTAACAATGTTTATATTTGTAACAAATCTCGTACATAGATGAGCAATATTTATAAACATAGAAAAATATTTAAAATTATTCTGTGATTTCTACTATGTCATAAACTAATCGTCAAGAGGTAGGATAATGAATTATGTCTATTTTTTGCGGGGCTTTGACGTAAAATACGCCCTCTTTTATTAGGCTCTGTACCGCAGTAGACGGATCGTAAAGACACGGCTCCCAGTAGAACACCGAAGTCAAGCATCACTGGCTGCGATCAGTAAGCGGGTGGGTGACCACTTTAAATAGCCTGCGTCGGGACCGAGGGGGCGCGTATCGGTCCTCGTTAAACTGTTCTGCAGTAAAGTGCTCGACTTCGCATGCAGATCGTCGGACTACCACAACAGGGGAGCCACCCCCTCTGCAGAGGATCCAAATTGCGATTGCCCGTCGTCTTCGGATCATTCTCAAGGATGTTTCCCAGACAGTCGCCAATAGTGCAGCTCTGGTGTGACGTAAATAAAATACCTAACTACCCTTTATTACGCTCTAGCATTAGAATTAAAACTCTTTATGTACTTCTCAGTGATGAGTACTTATTTTCCGCAGTAGGCAATTGATATTTCAGAAGGAAAAAAATCATCTAGCTATGGAATTTTTTTTTTAGTTTTGATTATTAATATTACATAAAATAGTTTCTTGATATGTTTTCAAAATTACTGAGTACTACAAATATTTTTTTGTGATATAATTCTCTAATTTTTGGTGAATTGAAAGCAATATGCCATCATTTAGTTTATTAAACACGTAATGGTTTATAAATACATTGGCAAAGAGGTGTAAAAACTATCAGCTGTAACAAACTAAATAGCCGCTTCAAACATTTAACAATCAAGATTATGTTGTGAGGGACGTTTAAGCAACTTTGTCACTTTTAAGATGTTCTATTTTTTAGCTAAATAACGAACAAGGATTTAGAATTTATAAGGTTTGACTTTTATGATAATTTACCAGCGTTTTAGATACGAGATACAGAGACTTTCAACTTGGTTTATGGTCAGACAGGACCATTTCAGAGGCTGTTTGATAAATAGTGTCCCACTTGTTTTTGACCACAATGTAAACAGGTAAAATTTTAATAGTTTTTATCTCTTAAACAACACGGTTTTTAGACAACCACGTTTTATTTTGAAAAATGTAAACACAAAGCCCTAACAGCTTCATTGTTCAAGATTTCTCAATATAATTTTCTGCTCCGCAAAAGGTTAAAATAATGAAATGCATCATCAATAGTCATGGTAATAGCTTTTTTTTTTTCATTTTCAAGTTTAACTGTCAACCGAGCCTGAAGCCAAAACGTAAATGCTTGCCTCACTCTTGCTCAAGATCAAAGGAAGCTACTTTTTGAACCTGGATGTGAACTGAGATTTTCTTCCTCACACAGTTACTGCAGAATTCGTTGCGTAATAGAAGCGGTTGAACTTTTTTCTGACATATTTGAGATTGTCAAAATTGAGGCTAATGTTTCATACTAAACGAAGCAGTTAGAAAGTCCAGACTATTATGCCTAGTTTGGAGTTTTTGCAAATCTTTAAGTTCGTCGTTGTAATTGAATATTTATCCTCCACCTCTTCTTCTTCTGTTTCCACTTCTACTTCGATTTGTTGCTCCTGATTGGCTATTTCCACTTTGATTGGAAGCTCTTGATTGGCTGTTTCCGCTTTGATTAGAGGATCTTGATTGGTTGTTTCCACTTTGATTAGAGGATCGTGATTGGCTGTTTCCACTTTGATTAGAGGATCTTGATTGGTTGTTTCCACTTTGATTAGAGGATCTTGATTGGCTGTTTCCACTTTGATTGGAGGATCTTGATTGGTTGTTTCCACTTTGATTGCTGTCTCTTGATGTGTTGTTTCTACTTTGATTGGTGGCTCTTGATTGGTTACTTCTACTCTCAATTGACTGCTGTTTGCTTTTGATACAAAAAGGATAGGAATCATTCGTTTTTAAGTAAAATTTTGACGGAAATTGCAATCCTCTTCGCTTCCTGGCATGAAATCCCATGACGGCTGTGATTGAGTTTTCAGTGGTGCAATTCTTCTTTTCGAAATCTTCATAGCTGTTGCATAGAACTCCGATGAATTGGCAACTGGAGTTTTTTACGGATTCTGAGAAAAACTCATTCGCTCGTTCGTGGTCACAAGCTGATGGAAAGAATTTTGCAGAAGCTGCAATTGAAATTATTATTGAGGTGTTAGAAATTGATACTGAAATATGACTTATTATTTTTCTAGGGAAAGTTACAGTTCGAAATTGCTATTGAAATATGATTCATTATTTTTTTAGGGAGAGCTACCTTTGGAAATTGCTTTTGAAGTATGATTTATTATTTTTTAGGGAGAGCTACGGTTGTAAATTGCCATTGAAATATGACTTATTATTTATTGTCTTAGGGAGGGCTGTGTTTGGAAATTGCTATGGAAATATGATTTATTATTGCCCAGGGGAGAGCTACAGTTGGAAATTGTCATTGAAATATGATTTTTTTTATTTTCTTGGGGAGAGCTACAGTTGAAAATTACGATTGAAATATGATTTATTAATGTCCGAGAGAGAGCTACAATGATTTTTTTTTTAAAAGCAACATATATTTAGTCTATATAACGCGCAGACTAAAACACAACGCTTACTTTTCGTGTTACTGTCCAAATTCAGATATGATATCTGATGATAAAGTTTAAAGGAAAAGACGCTGAATTATTTACGTGAATCAAAGGAGCTTATACCGCACAATTGTGTATTTCATTTTCTTGAAGATCATATCTCGCGAAAAAAATTTACGTTACTTTTTAATAATTTTAAAACTTTTAAATATTAAGTTTTTACTACATTTCAAACTATGTAATTTTAAATAACAAAATACAGAACTGTAATAAAATTAGTTGAATAGTTCTTCAGAAATGGAAATTTCAAAATATGAATTTTCGATATTTTTCAAACCATTCATCCAATTTCGTTCAAGTTTTGTATTTTGTTATTTTAAATTACGCAGTTTAAAGTGAAGTGAAAACTTATAGCTTAATTTCTACTACCCTAAATAAATTCTGAAATAAAAAATCTAGAAAATTATTTTTAATAAAAGTATGCTTTGTATGAAATCTTCGAAAAACAAGTTTAAACAATTTTTTGATACTTAAAAAAATATTATAAAATAAACAAAAAGAAAAAACTATTATTAAGAAGTTCAAACTTTCAAGCGCTACTCTGACAAAACTATCTTCCATATTGCGCCTACGCCTTATATTTTGATGGTTAAAATGCCAAAAAATATCCCTATAATATATAAAGGTAAATTATTCAGGCAAATGCTTTGTCAGACATTCGCTTTGTGCCAGGTTTCATCAATAAAAAAATTAATAGCGTAGCTACCCTTTTTGACACAGAATTTTTATTAAATATATTTTTCATACTTTTTTCATTATATTGTATTAATTTAGGTAAAAATAAATTAAAAAAATATTATATTTAGAATTTTAATAATTTATGGTTATGAAATACAGCATGAAACGTCGGGATCTTTTCTGCGTTAAAGCTAAAATCTTCCAAACAAGGCTCACTTCTAAATAATAATATTTCAAATTTACACTTATTTGTAATTACGTATTTTGATCTAAGAGAAACAGTTATTCATCATTGAAGTTTTTTTAATTTACAAAATCAATATCGGATAAATTTTTGAATATGAATGAAAAAAAAACAATTTCAAACTACTTTTTTTAGATTTTATATTTTAGTACAAATACAATAAGAGATTTTTATACCTAAGAGATTTTTTTTTGTAATTATTATTATAAAGTACAAAAAAATTTCTTTGCTTGCAATTTTTTTTAATGGCTGGTGCTGGAACTTTCGTTCTTAGGCTTCGGTATTAGAGCGTCGGAAAACAAATACCTAAAAGGGACACCGGTGGCCCATCTGCGTCAAAGGGTTAAAGTCTACCCCTTGAATCATACAGATTGCGTTTCGATTAGTGTTAAGCCGATCATTCGATCAAAAATTTAGTTTTTATTTATTTATTTTTTTTAATTTTAAGCTTTAACTAGATTACCATAATCGAGAATGTTTTTAACAAGGTTTTCTTCCAAAAGATTTCAAATTAGAAAATAAAAATCATTTTTAAAATTTCACATGAATATAAACCCTGAGTATAAAAATTTTATTAATTTTTTTTTTTTAACTAAACTAAAATATGCTCTTTTTTCACTCACAGTTTAACTCTCTGCCTAAAATCACTTCGCTGGTTCTTGACACCAGGTCACATCCCAGTTGGCTCTTTCCACCATTCGGGTAGAAATCTACGTGTCCTACAGGTTTTTCCATACCTAGTCCTGAAACAAAACATCAGAGAACATTTAATTACGTAAATAAATAAAAATATTTGAGACTTTCAGATTCAAAACTGGTTAAATTCTATCTCATAATTCATTTTTAAACATCTAAAGACATCATGCTTTTTTGGCATTTGAATTTAGATTATTTTTTTTGTACCACAATTTCTTTCAGATAGTAATCACCAAAATTATGCTATGTTGCTTTCCATGTAAAATTATTCCATTTTTGAATCTAGATAACTTTAAAGCAAGTAAAGCAGGTTTACTTAATTTATTTTTATTTTTAAAAAAATGCAATGTTACCTGCCTCATTTAAAGGTTTGACTTTTATTTTATTTTATGACAGTCGTTTGTTTAAACCGACCCAATTTTTGGGTTTACGACTGCTAATGTTCAACTTGTAATTTTGAACCCAATTTAGAAGACAAGGGAACTCCTGGGTCAAATATTGGAAGAAATTTGCCTTCGTGGTGGACTTTGTGATGGAACTAACCCGCATTTGCATTGCATGGAGAGGAAAAGCACGAAATTCTCCCACGGTTAGCCTGACAGCAAGATGACTGTAAACCATGATCCGGCTACCACTGAAGATATTTTTACGTCATTCGTTTGTTGGTTTAAGTGTATTGGTAAGTGTGTGTTGGTTTAAGTGTGGTACTGTGGTCGGTCCAAGCCGGATGCGGAATTCGTATCGACCAGCCATCGCTAGGATTCGAGCCTGGTTCACATCATTCGAAGGCGAATGCTCTATCCCCTGAGCCATCACGGCTTAAAAGTTTGAATTGCCAGCTTTTAAAGGAAAAGGAAAGGGTTTTTTTTTTAGTTTTTTAACGACAGAAAAAAAACAAAAATAATACAATTCAGCCTACCTTCTTTTAAGTTTGAATTTAATTTTTAAAGCAAATAATGAAAAATGAAGTCCCTTTTTATCAACATTAAACACAAAACATTTGAAGCTAAAATTTAAAGCTAATATGAAATTTCTAATTGAATTTTTACCTCAGTGAATTTTTTTTCTTGCTTCATTTTGAAATATGAATATAGAAATTTCTATTGATAAAACCGACAAAATAGTTTACAAACATGTAACAAGGAAAAAAACACAAAAATTATCCATCGAGGTCACAAATAGTAGTAAAAAATAGCATAATATTAATAAATAACGACACAAAAATCATTTTTTGTTTATTTCTAGCAGTGTTTCGAAAAGTTTTGAAAAAAATCAATTTTGATGCCATTTTTTTAACAAAGTTATGAAAATTGCCTAATATTTACTTAGAAATCTGTTAGATTATTGGAATTATGTTTGTATTAAAATACAAAGTCCAAAAAAAGTAATTTAAAATTTTTTTTTCTCATTCATATTCCAAAAGTTATCAACACTTTATTTTGTAAATTAAATGATAAATAACTTCAATGATTTTCAATGATAAATAACTGTATCTCTTAGATAACGGCAACCAAGAGCAAATAGGAAAAAATAATCAAGCCGTGTTTGGAAGATTTTACCTTTAACGCAGCAAAAAACACCGGTGTGTCATGTTGTATTTCATAACCATAAATTATAAAATAATTATAATATTTTTCACTTATTTTATTCTAAATTAATTTGAAATAATGAAAAAATTATGTAAATATTTTAAATAGAAAATCTGCGACAAAGGGTTAAACTGAAAAACAAATTCATTGGAATTTTTGCAATTAAATAACTCTTAGCAATTTCTTAAATCATTATATGAAACTTTCCTTAAACTTTTTAGAAAACAAAAATTAATTTAAAAAATTCAGTAGCAAGAATATAAAATAAAATAAATACTAAGTAAAATCTCTTAAACAGAAAAAAAAAATCTAATTTTTATGCAAACTGACTCAAAATTAAAAAAAATAATTTTTATACTGTTTTTCGAATCTATATAATTCACAAATTTGCCAGTAGCATATGGGAATTTTTTTTTAAACTTTTAAGACAAAAGTGTAGTTTAAAAAAACTATGATTTCTAAGTAGGTAAGGTCTTTTGAAAAATATAAAAAAATGTAAGAACTGTTTTCGATTAGAATAACTCAAAGGAATAAAAAAGAATACTAAGATTTTTCGCTATCAAATAGGTTTGGCTAATTTTAAATGCAAAGATCTCATTTAGAATACTGTAAATTTAGCAAATATGAGTTTTCTAGGCTTACATTGATAATCAATTTATAAAATATGGTATGAAAAAGCACGTACAATTTTATGAGATAGTTTACAATCTAAACACGTAATTTTTGTTTACCTTCCATAATGGAGTCAGCAGCACTTGTATGAATAACGTCAACAAAAAACGCATCTGAAGGATCTAATCTTACGGATTTATCATCCACTTGAAAATAGGGTCCTGCTGGATCTAAACCTGTTTTTGAGAAAGAATATACGCTCCTTAATATTGGGAGTACAAATTAGTTCGGTCCGTTTTTTTGTGTGGTTAAAAATGCATTTATTTCAGAACAAAATGAATGAACAGATTAATCGAAGAATTGTTCATCGCTGGCTTCTATTTTTTCCCACCTCTCAGCCAATTTTCGAATTCCATCTCGAAAAAATGTCTCGTCTTTTGAGGCGATCCAAGTTAGGAGTCAATTTTCGATTTCTGCGAAGGAAGTGAACCGGTGATCTGCAAAACAATGTTGCATCCGTCGGAACAACCAGTAATCAGAAGGAGCAATGTCCGACGAATACGGCGGGTGAGGTAAATATCCCACTTGAGCGTTTCCAAATAATTTTTTACGAATTTTGCGACATGAGGCTGACCAACATCATGCAGAAGATTAACTTTGTCATGTCCTTGCTTGTATTCCGGCAGTTTTTCTCGTAATGCACGGCTCAAACGAATCAATTGTAGCCTATACCGATCGCCCGTAATGCAATCTCCAGATTGTAGCAGCTCACAGTGCAATGGCATTCACCATTCTACATTTACCATTCTTGAAACGTGGAAACCATTTCCTACATGATTTATCAGTTGGAGCATCGTCACCATAAACTTCTACAAGCATTCGATGTACTTCAGCTGCACTTTTCGTAAAATTAAAGCAGAAACATAAAACCTCCCGCAAATGCTGCTTAGTTTCCACAAAATTTGACACATTCAACAAATTAAAAAACAGGGTTTTTGTATGAAACTCTAAGCGATATAAACAGAATATTATTGACAGATGTCTAACCTCTCTGAAACCACCGAAACCAGCTGTCACTATGAAACATTCATGACAGCCTGAGCCATCTTTTGAAAACGGACCGAACTAATTTGTACTCCCAATATTAAATTAATATTTACATTAAGAGTATTTGCAATATTAACCCATTTAATAAAATAGTCTATGATTAGCTAGTATTAATGAAAGACATACATCTATTTATTTGAATAAAGGGTGTATCTACAGCTTTCTTCTTCGACCAGCACTACAATCGATTGCCATTTATGCCAATGTCAAACTGCTTTATTTTTTCTTAATCTATCTACAGTCCACAATTGATAGTAACTCTTCCGCTTTTCCACATTATCTAACCATCTTGTACTTGGTCTACCTCTCTTTCTTTTTCCTGCTGGCTCGTGGTCCCGTAGTAAACTGATCGTAAAGACACGGTTCCCAGTAGAACACCGAAGTCAAGCATCACAGGCTGCAGTCAGTAAGCGGGTGGGTGACCACTTGGATCAGTCTACGCAGGGACCGAGGGGTGCAATATCGGTTCTCGGTCAACTGTTCTAACGCAAAGTGTTCGACTTCGCAAGCAGGTCGTCGGGCTACCAAAACATGGGAGCCATCCCCTCTGCAGAGGATTAAAATTGCGATGGCATGTCTTCGGATCATCCTCGGGGATGATTCCCAGACCGTCGTCAATAGCCCATTGTGCAACACTAGTGCGACGTAAATAAAGAACTTACCTACTTTCTGTCTTTTGAAGAGTTTTTTTTATCCGTAACTTGCTGATCTCATGATTTGAAAAAAAATATCATTAAAATTTGATTCGATTTTGATTTTTTTAAAATTGTATGTATGTAGTATCCGTTGCACGTAGGGTTTTTTTTAAATCTCTGAAAATGGCGGTGTTTTAAAAAAAAATTCAAAAAAGGACGTAAAATAAGTCTGACTTCTTATTCACGAACTTCCATTTTGCGAATTTCTCTATTTTGCGAATTGTTTCGAAAAACCAAGAATATTTCGGAAATTTCTTCGTAAAATAACCTCCAAATAGCGAAGTTAATCTTCTATTTAACGAAATTTTCTTTCATATCCACTTTCCCTATTTCCCAAAATATTTCAGAACATTTCAAACTTGATAACGCATTCTATGGAGGAAATGATCCCGAACTGATTTTTGAAGCCATTTAAGTTTTAGAGCAAGCAGTAAAATCCCTTTCCTTTTTTGCTTGCATTTCAAACGAAAAACTCAGACAAAGAAAACAGATTTCATCAGTAGCAATTAAACTTAAGAACGCATGTAGTGATGTACGTTTAAAATTACTTTAGCTATAATTTTGTACACAAATTTAACTTTTTTTTAGTTGAAAATGTATGTAGCATGGTAGTGTAACACTGGAATATGTTTTGCTCCATTCTCGTTTTCTATGCAGATTTCTTTTATGACTAAGATTTATAAAATAAATAGTAGATACTAGTTTACAAGATAAAGGTGCATCGATTGCTATTTTAATTATGTCTAGTGTTTATGAATTTAAAACCTGTTTTGTGTTGTTTAAGTATTTTAAAGGGTGATTTTCTATTTAACGAATTTTCCATACAACGAACTTACTATCGGAATTATACGTAATATCAAAATTTGAAGTAAACCGTTCGAAAATTGTACTGATTAGACATACAGAAAGTAAAATAAATATATTTCCGAGTAAATTGCGATTAAAATTTTATAACTAACAGTAATGCATATCTAAACGATGCAGATCTCCATCATTGTCAACAACCTAAATGACTAGTCTAGGAGTTTTCCTACTCTATCTGCCCTCATACGTTCTTAGAGTATTAGAGTACTTAGAGTATCTTAGAGTTCTGTGGGAATCTTCATTTTGATCTTTGTATCTTGTTCGACCTTATCATTTTTTTTCTCATTATCTTTCTTTAGATTATGGCCTACATTTATTTCTAATTCTTCCAAAACTGTCAGTAACCCTTTGCAACCTTCTTTAACACTAGATTGTCCAAGGAAGTCATTTTGACTGCTTTTAAATTTCAGTTAGAAAAACAATGATGTTTATAATGACGCAATTTCTTAGAATCTTGTGACTTTTATAATTATTTTCATTGTTAATATTTACAAATAACTTGCTACATAACTGAAAATAATATAAAAAATATTAAAAATTTATTTCAAACAAATTTCTTTATACATTATTCTTTCACAATGCAGTCATTTTGACTGCTTTTGGGCAATATAGGTATTTCAGTCTTTCTAGTGTGAAACTAAATAATTTGCAATTTCAACTACTTTATTGAAAATGCCATTCATTTTTTTCTTACATAACGTAAATAAATTATTTCAATAAAATAGTTAAAATGATAGTATTTTTCTAAACTACTAGTACTACTACTACTAGAATCTAGCGAATCGATTAACCACAATCTAATCTCACAAATCTTGTATTTTTTTTTAATGGCTGGCACTTGGGTCTATTTACCATTGATCTCAGAAGTGCCAAAACCGCTACTCTCTTATCGTTACCCAGTGGGCACTTGTGGCTAAGCCACGGGGGTCTGAAGTAGCGTCTCCCACGTCATACAACCACAAACCCATTTATAGGGCGGCGTACATTCACGCAATCACACAGAAGAAAGAACATAGAACACAGAGAGAGAGAGAAAGATACATCCATGCCTACGGTGGGATTCGAACCCACAACCACTGGCCCCATAGTTCAGTACAGTAACCACAAGACCAGTGATCGGCCTCCCACAAGTTCAATTGTTTATGTATAGGCCGGGATAGCCTGGTCGGTAGGAAGCTGGACCCATGTCCAAGAGTTCGTGGGTTCGATCCCAGGCTGGCAGAAGACTCTCGGTGTAGCAAATGATGACTGGTGCACTTTAAATCTGTCAAGTCGCAAAGTCCTCCATGTTCCCATAACAAATCAATACCTCTGGGGGTACTGATCCAGGAGTTCCCTTGTCTTCATGATTGGTTCAAAATTAAGGGCTACGGAGTTGAACAATAGTAGTCGTAAGCCCGCAAATTGGGTCGGCTGTTCAACGACGGTTATAATACAGAATAAAAAATTTTATGTAAGTCACAGCGTGCCACGATCGACATATTATGCTGTAACTTTTACATTTTTACAAAATCAATCCAATATTTTGGTACAATAATCTTTAATATAAACTATCTAAAAATTAAATAATTTTTTTTTCATTCTTTTTGAAAATTTTAATCTATTGTTCTGCTCTAAATGCAAGTTTTCCTTAACACGGAATCAAAACACACATAAATCGAATAGTTGCAACTGCTTCAAAAAAATAAATAAACTTTGCGGCTTAGTTTGAGCAATCACTTTGACACGGTAATTCATGTGCAAATCTTCCTACATTTAAAAATGTAAATAAATTATCTGAAAATCATGATCATCTTAATTTTTTGTTTCGACATTTTAAATAGTATAATTAAAATCTAGAGTTGAGAGCTGCTACATTTGTAGAAAGCGTACAAAGTTCTTCATTGAGGCCTTTTAGAATTTCTTCTACAAACTCACATTTTTCTTTTAATAACAAATCATTGAAATTGAAAAAACATAAGAAATAACAAATTAATACTAGCACTGTTATGTCTTAATAAATTCTAAACCGTGAATCAAACTCTACTTACCAGTTATCCTTCCCAAATCTTTCACTCTTTCACCAACATAGCCTGCTACGTGACTTCCTAAACTGTGTCCGACAAGATGGAAATCACTTGCCCTAGCTCTTGTAGTATTCTAAAATAACAATTTTTTTTAAAAAAATATGAAAAAAATATTAATAAATATAGACTAAGTGAAAAAAGATTAACTTCAACGACTGGGAGAAGCTTTTAGAGAAAGCTCAACTTGATTGTTAAAACGAAGTCTCTTTTTGAATTTTCATTTACTGAAATTTAATCTGTTCTTTATATCTCAACTCAACTGATACAGGAAGTACTACCGAAGCTCTTTTGTTTTTTGATAAACTAAATTTCAACATTAAGTTGTTGTTGTTGTAGTTCATTTACGTCGCACTAGAGCTTCACCATAGGCTATTGGCGACGGTCTGGGAAACATCCCTGAGGATGATCCGAAGATATGCCATCACAATTTTGNAACTTGTCATAATAAATTCAAGACGACCTGCACGCGAAGTCGAGCACTTTACGGTAGAACAGTTTAACGAGGACCCATACCGCATACTCTCGGTCCCTACGCAGACTGATCCAAGTGGTCACCCACCCAGACACTGACCGCAGAAAGTGATGCTTAACTTCGGTGATCTGAGGGGAACCGTAGTCTTAACGATCAGTCCACTGCGGGACCTTTGACATTAAGAAACGTGTTCTAGTTGCCTTGGCAACAAAAGAATAAGAGAAATCATGTTTAGGAATTTAACTTAATTGGATTATTTAATGTCGTGAAGAGCGTTGTTGTTACTGCTTGTTTGCATTGTTTTAATTAAATTGCATAATATAATTTTATAATTTCAGCATCTTTTTTCCCTATAAAACTACGTATTTTCTTGATGTAATATATGTTGTGTCACAATTCCCTTTGGAGCTTTGTGATTTGAAATGCTTATAACAAGCAATTAACAATGCATGAACAAATTTTACTTTATTACCTGACAAACAAAAAAACATCGCAAGTTTTTTTTCTTTCACTGATGTTCAAGATAAGAAACTTTGGTGATGCGGCAGACTGTAAGTCTAAAGTCAAATTCCTGACGTACTCGCTGCAATTTTTTAGAACAGTTGTAGTTCGATCCATAGTAGCGAAAGCAATTATGATCCATCAGTGTAATTTTGTTAAATCCCGAAGCATAGGAAGTACGAATGGAATCTTGGATGTAACCCCATAAATAAAAACACAGGGTGTTCAGACTGGAGAGCGTGGTGGTGTTCATGAAAGAAGTCGATCGTCGTCGTCCGACTCGCGTCCAATCTAACGTCCACAAAGCTCGTTAATCAGGAAATCATGAATGTCTGTCAGGTAACGGTGCTCTATCTTGTTGAAAAATTAAAGACTCATAATCTTCCTTTTATTGTTGCATTTAGCAAAGAGGCAGCATATAGACAATAGAACACAACCGCATTTGACTTGTTGTAGCAATAGTGTGGCAAAAATTGGACTTAAGAGTTGTAGTCTGCAGCATCAAAGTTTTACATATTGAATATTAATGGGGGGAAACCTGTGATGTTTCTTTATCGGATAAAATAAAATTTGCTTGTGTATTGATAATGTTTTATTTGTGATGAGTTATGGATACACGGTTACCAATGGTTACACGACCTGCACTTTGCCAGAAAGGTTGTGATGTTTAAAGCAAAAAATGAGATTGTCATTAAAATGTCTTACAATTATTAAGTTAATCATCTTGGCTATGAGGGCACCTGTTGTTCTCGTGTTTGCAACGGCTTGAGCATATGGAAATCCATTGTCAGCAGTCCAGTCTACGACAATAACATTATAATTTCCCTCCTCTAATATGGCTTTTTTCATGATCTGAAATTATAAATTATTATTGTTTAATGGTTTATTATATGATGCAAGACGAACCGAAAATAAACGAAAATGTGAAAAATAATCACACAAAAAAATGATATGGTTCGTCTAGTTCTTTTAAGGGAACCAAAAAAAATTTTTTCAGAAAGTTTTAAAATTAGTCACAAATTTCGTTCGGCAGATGGCGCAACCGATTCAAAACATCTAAAAGACTTTTTTTTCCAAAACAATCACCATTTGCGAAAACAATTTGGCGCAGTCAGAAGTCAAAATCGACAACGCTTGTGTAAATGTTTTCGAATGAAATCGTCTGCACAAAATATTGTTTTGTAGCAATAATAGCTAACAGTGCAACTTATTGAGGACCTTTAGAACTAATTTTAACATTTTGAATGCATTATCTGATAACCTAAACCGAAAGCTGCAATTATCCGTCTTCTCCCGTTTATTTAAAATTGCATTTTCAAATCACCGATCACTTTTGAAATCTATCGGTTAATTTCTAAACTAGCTCAACTCATCTGTCAACTTTTATTATCTTAAGTCATATTTTAAACAAAATAAATTTTATAGCCTTCACATGTACTCAAATAAAATATCGTGTCAGTTTTTTTTTCCAAGTTTTTAATAACACTACCGTGTAGAACAGAAATTGTGAACTTCACGCAGAAAACAGAGCTTCGTGAATGTACAGTTCGCAAAAGAATAAATAAAATTAAAATAAAGAACTGAAGATTACAAATAACTTTTGATTTAATGATCGGATTTTTACGTACTAAGACTCAATCTTAATGGTTCGATAGTCTAACCTCAAGCATGCTACATAATTAATCTAGACGATATCAAATCAGACACAAAAATGTAATTTGACTCTTCAATCGGAAATAGATGTCGCAATCTGGAATATATGACTCTAAAAGATCAGGCGAGCGATTGAAAGTTTAGACCACTTAATGTTAATTTCCTTTTTCGCCATAACTCAAGAGCCTTTTAAGCAAACCGTAAATTTCTGTTCAAATTCACGAATCCGAATTCGTCGGGGGGNGGGGGGGGGGAAGGTGTGTTAGAGAAATACTTTTTGAGACTGTTTCTGTAATTTAAAATATCGTCTGCACTAATTAATTAGCATATTTATGATCATGCACTTGAATCATTGAAATTGAGTCCGGGAAAATCCGATCATTAAATTAAAATTATTTTATAACTGTCGTTGAACAGCCAACCCGATTTTGGGCTTCCAATGTTCTATTCCATAACCTTGCAGTTTTGAACCCAATCCAGAAGAAAAGGGAACTCCTGGATGAAGTATTGGGAGAAATTTGCCTTCGTTGAGGACTTCTTGATGGAACTAACCCGCATTTGCGTTACATGTAAACCTCCCGCGGTTAGTCTGACGGGATTCTAACCCATGATTCGTCTACCACTGAGGATATTTCAAATCAGCATTGTGATCAGTGCGAAATTCAAATCAATTAACCATTGCCGGGATTGGAATTCGGTTCACCTCATTGGAAAGCGAGCGCTCTATCCCTGAGCCACCACGGAAGTTATTCAGAATATTCCGTTTTTTATTTTGCGTACAGTACATTACAGCAGGTGGAAGTAACCTTAACCATACCAAATGGGTACGCAATTCACCAATTATTTTCAGTAATAATTAGATCAATGCTGAAAATTGTATTAATTACCACATTTGAAAATATCTATGGGGGTGAATGGGAGGAAACAACAGCTAAATATGTTTAAAAAGAATAAATTTTGATACCCACGTATCTGAAATCATTCTGGTTCAAATCCGATGCAAATCCATGAATTAGCACTTTAGTCTTGTGCTTTGCATCGTAAGTCGAATTGAGTATGGACTGTCGAGTTACATTTAGGTGGTACACTTCGTGAGGGTTTGAAGGCGTGAAAAGCTGGAACTTAGTTCCGGGTTCCTTCGTTGGAGGCAGGCTGATCGGCCTGTTGACCAAGTGATGGAAGGGAGGTCCAGTGTAGAAACATCCTAAATCGGTCACACACACGTTCGTATACAGAACTGAAATTGGAGAAATTTCATTCATTAAGTGTCAATTAATTGTCCTTTGAGTATACTAAAACACAGAGTTTATTAATGCATGATGTTTTGGAAGATTATTTTATTTTATAACAGTCTTTGAACAGCCAGATCCCATTTTTGGATCTATGACTGCTCATGTTCAACTCCGTAGCCTTGCAATTTTGAACGAAATCCAGAAGACAAGGGAACTTCTGGATCAAGTATTGGGAGAAATTTGCCTTCGTGGAGGACATCTTGATAGAACTCCCTCTGTTCCGTTATATGGAGAGGAAGACCACGTAAACCTCCCTCGGTTAGACTGGCGGCAAGGGGACTCTAACCTATGATCCGTCTACCACTGAGGATATTTTACGTCAGCATTGTGGTCGGTGCAAACCGGATACGGAATTCGTATCGACCAGTCATCAATGAAATTCGAACCTAGTTCACCTCATTGGAAGCTCAATCGTCTGAGCCATTACGGCTCTCTGCACATTTTGTACAAGCTTTCGAGAGAAGCTATGGCTCGTTATTAGAATTGTGACTTCTATAACAGCCCATGGCCTGAAATAGCATTGCGCACTGCTAAGTTTCCCTCCCCATTATCGGCTGGCTGTTCATGCACATTTGAACCGGTACTTTTATTTACCTTAACTTTGTTTTTTTTTGTATTATTATTGGCGGAAATTAAAATAATATAGGTATAGAAATAGCTGCTTTGTATTAATTTATTTTTGTGATTTATCGGCTGTTAAACCATTAAATTGCAATTGAAGAGAATCTGAGCATATTTGAATTAATTTTCGCAATAATTATTAGATAATATTAAATTCAGGTAAATAAACTTACTAAATCAAATGTGTTAAATAGATATGCCCATTTTGGACATATATAACAATAGCATTTCCGGTCATAGATGCAAGTCAATTCGTACGATTTTTTTAAACTGCTACCTCCACTTCAAGTTTAGTTGAGCTCAGAAATACTCTGGTATGTGCACAATGCGAAACACCTTGAATAACTTTTGATCTAACGATCGTATTTTCACGTACAAAGGCTGCATCTTAATTGTTCAAAGGAGTCACCTCAAATATTGGACTTCACAACCACAGACGATATTTCAAGTCTTTATTTTTCTCTGAATAAACATACTTCAAACCAGAGTTGACCGTTGATTACAGTAATCGATTACAACTGTAATTGATTACAGATAATTACAGCTATGTAATCAATTACTTGTAATCACGATTACAAGTAATCTATTACTTGTAATCGTGATTACAACTTTCAAAAAATTTTGATTACAGCTGTAATCATGATTACAATTTTGATTACAGTAATCAATTACTTGTAATCATGATTACTAGTAATCAATTACTTGTAATTGTGGTTACAACTTTCAAAAAATTTTGATTACAGCTGTAATCATGATTACAATTTTGATTACAGTAATCAATTACTTGTAATCATGATTACAAGTAATTGATTACTGTAATCGACTATGTAATCATGATTACAGCTGTAATCAAACTTTGTAATCACGATTACAAGTAATTGATTACTGTAATCAATATTGTAATCATGATTACAGCTGTAATCAAAATTTTTGAAAATTGTAATCATGATTACAAGTAATTGATTACTGTAATCAAAAAATGCAATCGATTACATTTTTGGCCAACTCTGCTTCAAACTAAACATACTTTCGCCGAATTTGATTTTCTAGAGAAATAAATATGGTCCTTTTTTTTCCCTCCATTGCTTACTTCAGAATTTATTGTACTGATTGTGCTCTTATTTTGTATTTTACCACATAAAATTGCATTCTTCGACATGATGTTAAAATTTGTATACCTGACAATTCAAAATTGTTCCGACTATTATTATATGAAATATTAAAAGATAATAAAAATTAAAAATATTTGCGTGAAATTATATTTGGATAAAAGAATACGATAACCGAAATAACCGAAACGAAACACCCCTGCTCAGTTAGTTTATGCTCAGACTACTAAATTGATCCGTTGTTGAGACTCTTCTAGGAGGTATTGCATCAGCACAGATTACCATAAACAAGAAATTAGATCCCAACTGCTCAACTTACAGTCCCTGGCCAATTTATTAGACACACTATAAGATTCTATGTAAAATCCTAAAATATAAATTCGACGACTGGATAAATTAGACAATATATTATATAAACATGGAATATTTATCATATCAGGTATTATATTGGTATATTATAATTATTAGACCAAATAATTCGACGCATTGTAGTTTTTTAATAATGACATGTTTTGCACGAGTTTATATGCAATACTTTTATATTTAAACATACATGTAATGGGTTTTTATTCCGAAGATTTTTTATATACTTCCTATTTGTATTTATTTTTAACATATTGCGTTACAATGTTGACCCATTGATGCACAAACGTAAGCTTGAAAAAACCGGTTTCAGCATTGTAAAAACAATAAAGCTGTATAGTATCAACTGAAAATTGATATTTTACATAGAGTCTTATAGTGCGTCTGATAATTTGGCCCTGGGACTGTAGTACCCCGAACCTTGTGACATCTTTCTCAATATTCCACCACTGCGTAGTTTATGTTCGTTACGTCGGACTACTAAATTGATCCGTGCTGAGGCCCTCTCTCTCTTCTATGAGGTGTTGATTCAGATAAACCTATCAGTGTGATCAATGAAGTTAGAAACGCTAAAGAAAAGTTTTCAAGATATCAAAATGCACATAAATAATTGCACGGTTACTTACTCTTAGTAATCGCAATCACATTTACATTTTTATAAGATAACTAACATGTTCGATTCGGATTAATGTTACAAATCTTTTCTCTTAAAAATATTTATGATTTTTTTCAACTGGTGAAATTTTAACCTCAATGCAGTTTTAGTTATTTTAGTTCTTCTTGTTCATTTAATGTAACGAAATTTAAAAAAAATTTCCCTCTCTTTCCAAATTGTTTGAAAAATCTAAATTTTTTCGCTTTATTGTTAAAGTTGTGATTCAAAAAGTTTTTTTTTTAACTGTGCATTATAATAATCAATAAAAGTCAATTAAATATTAAAATTAAGTAAGTACAATAAAATGAATCTTTCGTATACAGCAAAAATCATTGTGCGGTTTTAATTTCCAAAGAAACGAATAATAAATTTAAACGAACTGAAAAAACGGCATTTTTAAAATATAAACATTTAAATACTTACCATTCAAAGGATTTAAAACTGAAACAACTTGTTTAATTTTTGACAAGAGAGCACTAGTTACCGCGATGCAGACATATATCATAAAAACATACTTCATTATGCATTTGAAGTGAAACTATGTCACTATTTGAAATGCTAAGGGCTGTAGCATTACTTAGATTAACGCCGATAATTTTATTTTTGTAGCAATATTAATGCTTTCTGTTACAATAAAAGTTTAATAATACTGTTAAAGGAAATGTTGCATAAAAGAGGAATGACTGGACATTCTATTTATTACACGCAATGAAAACATGCGTGCAAAAAAAATTCGAAGTCGGGAAAATATAATTGTTCGTATTTTCATTATTTAAAATAACGTCACTCATAACTTTGTAAAATATTTTTTTAAATCCTTTTTGATGTTTTTTCCTCGATTAAACGAACTTTCGATTGGCAATACGATTACGTTTTAATGTTGCGTGTATGCGAAGTTTTTTTGTTAAATGTTATTTATTCCCCTGATGTTTATGAAGAACTTTGCATTTACTTTTTGATTGAATAGGCTTTTAAACCTGTAGCAATTTAAAAAAAAAAAATTTAAATGTGTAAGTTTAGGAAAGGACGTTAAGTTTACAGTGAGTTTTGTAAAATAGTTTGCTCTTATTTCATTAAAGAACAAAAAAAAATTGAAAATCAGAAAACGATTTCGAGTTGATAAGAAATAAAACTCAAAAATTAAAAAACGATTCGGAGCAAATAAGAAACGAAACTCAGAAAATAAGTATTTACTTTCGAATCGCGTTGATTGTCGAATATCTTGATTTATATATCATATATTTTGATTCATATATCTTGATCATTCAATATCTTGATTTATTTGTAGGATCGTAGTGTAGCTGTACCGCCACATCGGAATAACCTTAATACTAGTTAATGATTATTGATAATGAAATTATCTAGACAATTCATTATCAATATCTTGATTCATGTGTAGAATCGTAATGTAGTTGTACCGCCACATCGAAATGTTCTTAATACTAGTTTATTATTATTGATAATGAAATTATCTTGACAATTCATTATCAATATCTTGATTCATGTGTAGAATCGTAATGTAGTTGTACCGCCACATTGAAATTTTCTTAATACTAGTTTATTATTGTTGATAATGAAATTATCTTGACAATTCATTATCAATATCTTGATTCATTTGTAGAATCGCAATGTAGTTGTACCGCCACATTGAAATGTTCTTAATACTTATTATTATTGATAATGAAATTATCTTGATAATATTGTTAAAACGTATTCTAATATATTTTTTTAAATAATACTTTGTTGTAACATGCGTAAGTTTTTACACTAGAAAGACTGAAACACTTAGTATAGTATACCTATATTGCCCAAAAGCAGTCAAAATGATTGGATTGTGAAAGAATGTTTTATGTGTAAAGAAATTTGTTTAAAATTAACATTTTTAATATTTTTTATACTATTTACAGTTATATAACAAATTATTAGTAAATATTAACTATCAAAAAAATTATGTTGTACAAAAAGTCACAAAATTCTAAAAAATTGTGTTTCTAATTCAATTCTAATTGAAATTAAAAAGCAGTCAAAATGACTTCCTTGGGCAATCTAGTGTTAAAAATGTGTAAAAAAATGTATTTCTTTTTAACAAAAAATTAAATTTCAACAAGATGGAGTAGGCAATATAAATTTGAATAAGATTATTGAGGTATATTTTTCTAGAAATATAATGCACAGAAAAACTTGTACTCTTGAATTTTATTATATTTTTAATACAAGCTCAAATTTTAAAGAAACATAAATTTTGTAATTAGTTTCTTAAAGCACCGAATAATCAATGAAAATGAAGTTTTATGATTGCACGAATTTGAAAATGAAATTATTTACTATTTTGAAAGAATAGTAACAAAAAAATAATAGAAAAATATTTCAGCATAAGCAACAAATTTCTGTTTTTATTTTCAAAGATTCGGAATTTCAATTTTAAAAATAATGGAGAATAGTCCAGTAAAATTAGACTTTTTCTTCGTAAAAATTGATACACAAGAATTCTTTTCTTAGAATGCCTTATGTAATTATAAATGCTACTTGAGAACTCTTGTGCTTTTTTTGATGAAAAAGTGGGATGATTTGAGAATTTAATTTCCTTTAATGACGCATTGTTAACAATGTATTTTTTTACACTGAATTGAAAGATATTACACAAAACTCAATAAAACAAATAGTTCAGGAGTTGTTAGAGATTATGTGTATAAAAAAAAAATTTTTTTTTTTTTTGCTCTTTCTTGCGTTTACACTTTACAATGTTTTTACCTGAACATGTAAAGTATATTTTTCAATGAAATTTTTCATGCTAAATTGACTGGGACAGAACAAAAATTTATAAATATTTAAGGAGTTATGGTTACGGGTACAAAATGTAGAGTTTTGTACTAGCACTTATTTACGCATTTTACAATACTATTAAATTCATGAACAGGCATTTCCTAATTATTTTTCTTGACCAAATTAACACACACGAAAAGGGCTAATACTTCATAACTTGAAATGGAGTTTCTGTATAAACAGTACTATTTCTTAAAAAGAACCCTGATAACTTAAAACAATTAATCCTATCAACTCAAACTTCATCTAATTCAAATCAGTATGAAAAGTCTCATTGGAAAATGCACCTTATATGCTCAGATAATAAAAAAATGTACAGTGTGTAAATATAAAACGGAATACCCTGAATAACTTTTGATCCTAATGATCAGATCTTCACGTTCTAGGACTCCATTTCAATGGTTTGAGGGGGTGACGTTAAATATGCTACTTAACTGGTGCAGACGATATTTTAAGTTATGAAATCAGACACAAAAACGAACTTTCTCTGAATAAACATACTTTTTCGACGGATTCGGACTTTTGACTCCCAAAATATATGGGGTAGCTAGCCGCAATCTGAGAAATATGGTCACATAGTTTGATCAGGAGAGCGCTCCAAAGCTTGGACCCCTTAATGTTAATTTTTGCGTATTTCGCTCTATCTCGAGAAATTTTTAAGCAAAATGAAAAATCTTTGAACACAAGTATAAAATTCGTTTATTCAAAGATAAATCAAGGTAAAAAATAAATTTTAGTAAATATTTACTATTCTTATTATTTTATTTAGCAATAGTAGCAAACATTTTGAATTGTAAGGTATACAGTTTTTTTTTTTTTTTGCGTCATTTCAAAGTATCTAATTTTACATGGCAAAATACAAATTTTGAGCAAAATCTGTTGAAAAGGTCATGAGAAATCGAATTTTAAAAATCGTATCTGAATTTTTTTTAAATCGTATATTTAAAATTTGATATCTTAGGAAATATTCAACAGCTTTCGCTCAAATTTCATATTTTACCATGTAAAAACTTATACACTTTACAATTCAAAAGTTTTTTGACTGTAATTAAATAAATAGTAACTATTCACTAAAATTAATTTTTTTGCATGGAATTACCTTTTGATAAATGAATTTTTCAATCTAAGAATTTTCAATATGCAAAAAGCAAAATTAACATTATTACAGGGTCCAAACTTCGGATAACTCTCCAGACCAAACTATGAGAACCATATTTCTCAGATATATTTTGGGGATAAGAAATCCGAATCCGTTGCAAAAAAGGTATGTTTATTAAGAGAAAGTATGTTTTGCATCTTTTAATTTAAATTTGCATCTTTAAATGCATAGTAATGATCTTTAATTTTTTTGCATGGAATTACCTTTTGATAAATGAATTTTTCAATCTAAGATTTTTCAATATGCAAAAAGTAAAATTAACATTATTACAGGGTCCAAACTTCGGATCACAATCCAGACCAAACTATGAGAACCATATTTCTCAGATATATTTTGGGGATAAGAAATCCGAATCCGTTGCAAAAAAGGTATGTTTAATAAGAGAAAGTATGTTTTTGCATCTTTTAATTTTTCAACTAAAAATATCGTTTGCAATAATTAATTAGGATATTTGAGATCGACTCATTAAGATTGAATCCTAGAGCATGAAGATCCAATCATTATATCAAAAATTATTCAGGGTGGTCCGTTTTTTGTTTTGTGTACTGTACGTAAGTAATGTCAAGATTAGTTCTTTATATCCACTTGCAAGTTTTGGTGAGTTTAACAAATTCAATGTGAAAAAAAACATAGGAGACTATATCTCCTATATGTATGTCTCCTATGTACAATATCAGATGCGTAAATCTGGTCTTTCAGATAGGAAATAAGACACAGCAACTTCTATAGACTTGATTATAAAAAAAAATGAATCTACTTTATTATTCTATAAAATGCATAGTAATGATCACATCTTTCCGAGCTCTTCCGCCCGGGCTTTCATTCGATTTATGAAGGCTTGACCTTTGCTTTTTCTAAAGTTCTCGTAGGGATCATTGAGGCTGACCCCAATACCTTTGTACATATCCTGCCTGTCTCTCACATCACCAGCATCCACAGGATCTTGAATACCTTGCTCCTGGGAACCAAGACCTGCACCAGACCATCCTGCAAAACAGGTATTGTTATATTTTAAATTATATTAAGAATATCTATACAGTCGGACCTCTATTTAACAAAGTCGCTAAATCCCGATAATAAGTTCTTTATATGGAAAATTTTATAAATAGAAAATCACCTTTTAAAATACTTAAACACAATACAGATTTTTAAATTCACAAACACTAGACATAATTAAAATTACAATCGATACACCTTTATCTTGTAAACTAGTATCTACTATTTATTTTATATATCTTAAACATAAAAGAAATCTGCATGGAAAGCAAGAATAGAACAGAACATTATCCAGTGTTACACTATTATGCAACATACATTTTCACCTAAAAAAAAGAAGCTAAATTTATGTATAAAATTATAGCTGCATTTACTACAAAAGTAATTTTAAACATACATTACCACATGCCTTCTTAAGTTTAACTGCAACTGATAAAATCCGATAACTTTCAGAGAAAGCAGTAAAAAATTACATAAAGCAGTGGCTTCAAAAATTAATTCAAAGTAATTTCCTACATAAAATGCGTTAACAAGTTTGAAATGGTCTGAAATATTTCGGAAAACAGGGAAAATAGATCTCAATGAAAAGTTTGTTAAATAGAAAATTCCCTTTGCTATTTGGAAGTTATTTTACAAAGAAATTTCCAAAATGTTCTTGGTTCTTCGAAAAAAATTGCAAAATGGAAGTTTGTTAAATAGAAGTCTGACTGTATATAGATATATGCATAATTTCATAGCAATAAAAGTTGAAAAGGCGCCCGAGAAACAAAATAGACTTACAATGGAATCTGTGAAAATTGAGTGCATTAAAAACTGGTGACTCATATTTGCAACTCAAAATTTAAAAAAAATTTTTTTAAGGAAAAAAAATTCATCGTGTTCAGAAGTTCTCGTGGGCTGCAGGTTATCAACCCAATTCATGATAATAAAAAAAAAAATTTAAAAAAAAAAAAAAAACATTGCTAGGAATACAGAAAAGTCTCCCAATAGTCTTCTTTCCCAGAAAATAGTTGCTTTTTTTAACCTTTTCAAGCAAAAAAAAAGTTGCCATAGTCACCTCAGGCCGAAAATAGTTGCATTTTAGTCACCTGTAGCAACAATGTAAATGTGTAGCTGCCAACATGGATAGGAAAAAATCTAGTAGACTTTACGAAATATAAAAATCATGATAATTGTTGCATAGTGTACTAAATATTTTTCAAACAGGGAATTTTAGGGATTTTTATACGCAACAAAATATAAAAAATGCAATATTTTCCAGATATGATCAACTTGAAATGAATTAATTAAAAAAATTTAATTAATTTAAAAAAGGATAAATTGAACATTTTAGAACACAAAAACGTTTTAAATTGATTTTTATAAATGAAGCTCGCTTCATTATGCATTCGTAATACTTATTTAAATATTCAAGCAAGCAATAATCTGTGCCTAAATTTTATTTTTTTAGTGAACTTACTCAAATTTAGGGAATTTTCTAAAGTGTATAAAAACCAGGAGAATTTTAATATAAACCAGTAAACTAGGAAAAACTGTCAAAATCAAGTAGAGTTGGCAGGCATGTAACCGATACCCTACTGACAGTGCCCATGATTAACAAAATAGCTATGAGTTACTTGTTACCAGATTTCTCCAAAACCCATATTCAACACAACGGAATTTTTTGATTAAATTTTTAGTTATTTTTTCCCGATGTTAAAGAAAAATTATCCCTTTGAACAGTGGTCGCCAAACCGGCGATAATAAGCAATTGGCAGCTTGTGGAACATCCCTTTCAATAGAACACATTAATGCTCAAGTTGACTAAACTTCATTTCTCTATTGAGTTGATATACTAGATTCTTTTTTAAAAAATTTTAAAAAAAAGTTGGTAGCTCGCAGCAGGATTTAAAAACAGTGTGGTAGTTAGGAGAAATCAGGGTTATGGAGATCATTGCCTTAGAAAATCAATCAATAAATGTGCAACATGCATTTTAAATTTAGGAAATTGCAAGTACTCTAACTCTATCAATAACTACTCCTCGGAGCCATAGTGGCTCAAGAGATAGAATATTCGCCTCCAAATGAGACGACCCTGGTTCGAATCCCAGTGGTGTCTAAATTATACACATTCTGCTCTTTGCGCACACACATGTAAACTATCCTCAGTGGTAGAGGAATTGTGGATTAGAATCTTCTTGCGGTCAGGCTAATCGTGGGAAATTTTCATGCAACGCAAATGCAGGTTAATTCTGTTAAAAAGTCTGTTACTAAAGCTAGTTTGCTCAAAATGCTTATGAAATCTAACAAAATTACTCTTTTTTAATTTCACTTCTCTATATAGTAAGTACATTTATTTTCAGCATATTTTTTACCTAAAAACATGCTTATATTGAGCTATATTTTAAATGGATACAGAGCACTAAAAAAAACAAACAGACCAACCTAAATAACTTCTGATCTAATGATCGGATCTTCAAGTTCTAATATTCAACCTCAATGGTTCGAGAGGGTGACCTCAAATATGCTAATTAATTAGAGCAGGCGATATTTTAAGATGTGAAATTGGGCACAAAACTTACAATAGATATAGATTCATTTTCTCGATGGATTCAGATTTCTGCCTTCAAAATATAGTGGATAGCTTCCTTATAAGATATATGATTTCAATACCAATAATTTCGTTCAAAAAAGTTAAAAACCCTTAATGTTAATTTTACTATTTGCTTATTTCACCATATCTCAAGAACTTTTTAAGCAAATTAAAAATATTTTGCACGCAATTATAAAACCATACAAAGATTATTCCTTGCAAAAATAACTTTAAGTAAATATTTATTTATTATTTAATAATAGAAGAAAAATTTTGAATTGTAAAGTATAAAAAATTTTATCACACTTTCAAGAATGTAATTTTACATGGCAAAATACCAAAATTTGTGCTAAATCAGTCAAAGAGTTGTTTAGAAATCAAATTTTAAATACATAACTTTTTATACTTTTATTTCTCATAAACTATTCCAACGATTTTGCTGAAATTTTTTATTTTGCCATTTAAAATTACATTCTTTAATATGAATAAAAAAATTGCATACTTGACAATTAAAAAAAATTTTCAACTATTATTAAATAAATATTTATTAAAAAATGTTTTTTTTCAAAGTGGTGAAAACGTTTGGCTGCTCTTCCAGATCTAACTATTGGGACCATATTTCCCAGATTGCAGCTATCCCCATTTTTGGGGTCAGAAATTCAAATCAGTCAAAAAAAGATATGTTTTTATGTCTGGTTCTATAGCTTGACATCTTGCCTGCACTAATTAATTACCATAATTAGGGCCACTCACTCAAACCATTAAGATTGAGTCCTAGAATGAAAAAGATTTATCATTGGATCAGAATTCAGGGTAGTCCTTTAGGGCACACTGTACTTATTATTTCACAAAATTCTTAGAGCAACACAATTTTATCCTAAGACTTTTGTTTGGTATAGGTAACATCTAAAACTTTGTGTTTTAATTAATTTCATGCAATAAGAAATATCAAGCCTAACAAGCAGGGAAACACTTTTTAATGAGAATTGCAATGACTGAAAAATTTTGTTAGCTACATTACATTGAGTTTCAAAAAGGAATTATTTTTCCTCTTATACTTTCAAATTTAATAAAACTAATGCATACTTTTAGTTTTTACAATAATAGTTAATGGGTTGTTCCATAACTTAAGACAAATAAATATTCTTTAAAAGGACGCCATACCACGAGAGTAACTTTTCGTCACAAATTCTATTTCTCTTTCATTACTAATTTAAAATTGGAAAAGAAAGAAAAAATGAGTTCAGGCAAACCTAGAGAAAGCCATAAAGTTTAAATTGCTGAAAAAAAATGTTTCAAAATATCAAAATGAAAACAAATTATTGGAAAGGAACTTTTCCATTGAGTCATTTTCTACTCATAATTAACTCTCATTTTGATATTTTAAAATTTTATTTTCTGCATTTGAAACTTCATGGCTTACTCAAGATCTCACTTTCTCTATACTTTAAATTAGTTATAGAGGAGAAAGAGATTTTATGATGAAAAGTTTCTCCTGTGGTATGGTGTCCTCTAAACAATTAACTTGTTGAGCCATTTTTGCTTAAATAATATACATATAGAAACTGTTTCCTTATGGCTGGCATTATTATATACATTTTTAGATTCCCTCTTAAAGATGAAATTAAAAGAGTATCAACATAAGAGCTAGGAAAGAAATAAAAAAAAGCTATCAAAAGCTCACGAATCACTTGTGCGACAACAAAACCAACCTATTTCATTGCTAGAGGTGTAAAAGCTAGAAAGATATTTAAATTTCACGAAGTGATTAGTTTTTCATCCTGCTTTTCCACACTAGTCACTCGTGAAACGTCAATAGCATTTCCTTTTCTCATGTTAAATATTAACTGGCAGCTCTTTGTGTGCATCCTCTTTTACATGGTTTTAAACAAGATTTTCAATTAAATAAAGTAAAAGCAGTCATTAAGAAACAAACACAATATGTGATGCATTTAACAGAAAATATTAACTTATTCCAGATTAAATATAGGTTTTTAAAGCCAAACAGAATTATAAACCATTGAACAAACATAGGTTCTGTTTTAGGTTAAATAAAAATGAGGAATTTTTATGCGAATATGCGACAAAATTCCTACCCATTTTTTTAAGAAGCTGATGTCCTTTGTTGCTTTCATCAAGTCTTCTGTCATGAGGAGTAGAACCGGATCCCCTAAAAAATAAGGATTCTTTATTCTCTAACTCAAATCGAATACATTGAATCAGCTTTAAAAAAAAAGCATAATTAAAGACAGGCAGAATTCCATCTATAAGCTGCAATTATTCTAGTTTATCCAACCCAATTCTTCCAGAAGACTTTTTTCCCATCATCTATGGATTCTAGGTTAAATTTTTGACTAGCATCTTCTCGATCTTTTCTCTTTTTTTAACTAAGCAAACTCTTGATAATAGAAAATAATTCAAAAGCAATATTTAAAAGAAAAAGAGTTAGATTAACAGGAACTTCTAGACAATTTTTCTTAATGTAAAACAATAAAATTATGCAATTTATGGTTTTGAATAATTAATTTAAAACACCACATTTGCAGGTAAAGGGAAAAAACTTCAATAAAATTTTTTAAGATAATAAAGATAATTCGAAATATTTAAAATAAATATAAAACTGACTAACAGCTATTAAAAAAAAACTAAAGTTGTACAGTTGAGAAAAAAAATTCTAAATTCTTAAAGCAAAACTTCAATGCTGAAATATTAATATTATCCAGAAAATGTTAAAAGAGATAATGTCTATCAGAAACACTTTTAAAAATGCAGTGCTATCATAAAAATGCCCATAAAAAAAAAACGGAACAGAAAATGCATCCCACAACGTAAAATGTTATGTTTATGTAAGAAACTTATTGAATTGGATCACTAACAGTGGTCCCGTATAGCCCTTTCCAACGAATCCTGTTCCGCTGTGACTTCCAATTTCTGGGAACCAGTTGGTGTGGAGAGAAGATAGCACGCCATGCACAACAGTATGTTCATGAATGCAATCAGTATGGCACAGGCATGTTAAAGTGGGCTGGCATCATGCACAATGGCAATACACCGCTTTACACTTTTGAGCATTACATTGCAGCAGCTTTGCAGAGAGATTATTCTGGACAATGTCCATCTTTTTCAGGAGTGTGGCAGGTCCAAACTTTCTGGTAATGGACAACAATGCACAGATACACAGGAGTGTCCACGTTTCAGAAAGACTAGAAAGTGAAGTTATTGCCCATATGCCATGGTCAGCCTAGTCCTGGACCTAAATCCTATAGAGAGTGCCTGGAATGACCTTGGCAGATGTGTTTCACAAGAGTAGTGGGGCAATATCCTCCAAGGACTCCTTACTAGTTTAGGGGACAGAATATATAGCAGATGTAAAATGTGCATTAGTAGGGCTGTCACTGGATGAAAACAAGAAAAGTAGTTGCTTTAGTTGCATCATATATGAATGAAAGTCTCCTAAATAGTCTCCAAGATATATAAAATAGCTGCTAACATCAAATCCTCCTTTAACATAATTTTAATTATTTGTGCTGTAATAGTATAAAATTCAAATAATATGCAGTTAGATACTCATATTTATAAAAAATGTACATTTATTTGTGGATTTGCCAACAACATATAGATAGAAGAATGCCTAGGAAACTGCTGTAGAATTTTCAAACATTTTAAAAATACCTATTTTTAGTTTTACTCTTTATGAGGCATAAAGCTTCAGATATCATATAAGGAAGAATAGTTGTAATTAAAGAAAAAAACATTTGAAAAAAAAAAGCTTGGGACTAAAATTTTAGGCATTATAAAAAAATGAAGTAGAAATGACAATTACTTTCATACATAAATTTCTTTTAAACCTTACTATCAAATAAACATTTATGTGTAGCATATTCGTTTAATAAACAAAATCTGCACTCTAAAAGTACTTAAATAATTTTAAACAATAATATGAAAGGAAAATTATTATATAGGCACAATTATGATTGCAAAAGCACGCTTTTGTAAGTAGCAAAAATCGACATGGTAACAGGGGAAAAAATCTCATTTTTGAAAAGGGAAAATTAAGCACCTAACTTGGGTATCAACATTTTGATGAAACAATAATCGAAATCAGAAGTAAAAACGCGTGTAAGCTGTGCGGTTTTTTTTTATCCTCCACTCCAGTCTAACATGAATAATTTGCAGCTACTTAGTTTAGACATAAAAATAAAAAAGAAATATTGCAATTTAATTCATTTCAATTTTATTTTGTTTATTTTTCATAACTGACACATTTCCAAATTTAATGCTCATCAAAAAAATTACGATCTCNAGTACATTGTGTAACAATAGTTTTATGAAAAATATATTAATGTTGAAATTTAAATACCTTAATATTTATTAAATAATAAGTAATTATAAATAAGTAGAAATAATAAGTAAAGTAACTACAGATTTATTGCTTCTTAACCAATGAGATAAGTGTGTCTGGTGTTTTTTTGTAAGGTTCACTATATTGGGTTCAAAATTGATCAATTTTAATTTTAAATCCCCTAGTAACTCCACGTTTAATTTATTTCTGAACTTAGTTAAGATTGAAGTTACGTGACTGAAACTGGCTTCAACCATATAGGAACTTGGAAAAGCTAGCATAAAAAGGCTGAGCAATTTCATAAAGTTCTACATATTTTTACATTATATTTATATTTGTTCAAAATTTACTTATTGCTAAATTTTTAAAAAGCGTCTTTGCTTCAAGATCTGATAATAATTTAGCAAACTCATCTTGCAGGTTGATGATGCGTTTATTAATTTATGTTATATAAAGAAACTGATATTAAGTCAATTATAAAAAAAATTCACAAATTTTACATACTAAATTAGATATTTGGGATTTACGTATTAAGAACTGTTTTTTCTTCGGCCCCCAATCGACCCTTCCGATTCGGATCGACCCCCACTTTTGTTAAATAGACCCCTGGGGGTCTATATAGACCACTTTGGCGACCTCTGCTATAGAGAGTGCCTGGGATGACCTTGGCAGACGTGTTTCACAAGAGTAGTGGGGAAATATCCTCCAAGGACTCCTTACTAGTTTAGTGGACAGAATACATAGCAGATGCAAAATGTGCATTAGTGTCTGAGGTAATCACACATTTTACTGAGGAACTCATGTCTGTTTTATTCTGGCAAGAAGATGCATTTTTCGTGGCCGCTTGGCAATTATTCAAAAAGCAGCCTTTTCATTTTTAATTTCCTTATTTTTCAAAGTGACGATATTTGTACCATTTTGCATAATAATAAATGCACATTGTTTAGACTAATTTAAGGACAGAATTGCATTTCCTCAAACAATGTCTATTATTAATTATTCCGAAAAATGTAGTCGTTACTTAGCAATTAATGTATTACTGGCAACATATATTGATAGCATGATATACAGCTAACAGGATATGCAATGTCTATGTAATTTTTATTTTACCCTCCCTCTCAGATTGTACACAAAGTTCAAAAACACCCTGTATAACTTCAATAAATTAATCCTAAAGGAATTGAAATGTAACATACATGAAAGTAGGAGGAGAGACACTTCTGCGATCTGGGGATCTCTGTGATCTTTTTGATGGTGGAGATCTTGATCTAGAACGTCCTCTAGACCGATGACGATTAGATCTTTGAGGAGGTGATCTAGGCGGTGAGGGTGACACTGAAGATCTTCGTGGCGGCAATTCAGGAGAGCGTGACCTGGACCTCGACACCGATCTGGAACGTCGCTGGTGCTCCTTTTCACCATTTTTGATAGGTGAAGGAATTACTTCTTTTTCAGGGCTGTAATTTTGTAAATGATTATGAAGTTAAAGTATTTCACAAAAATAATTCATTGAAATTGAAATATGAAAAAAAGAATTTCAATAAAAGCATCTTCAAAAAAAAAAAAATGTACATAAACCATTTGAATTAAAAATGAATAAAAAAATTATTAAATATGTTGTTTATTGTATGGAATAAGTTTTTATTCAATAAAAATGTGCTGTAAGATATTTTGATTTTTTTTTCTGAAAAATAAGAAACCAGTAAATTTTTTAATTCTATAAAAATTGTAGCTCTGTCAAAAATACATGTTAAATAATTGTTTACACTTCAGAGGACGCTAAACCACAGTAGAAATCCTTCATGGCAAATTCTCAAATTTTACCATAGGTAGTTTAAAATTTAAAGTTCACACGAAAAGTGAGCTTAGATTCGTAAACCATGTGTAAGCATGAAATTTCAAATGCTGGAAAAATGCTTTCAAAATGCAAACAATTTACCTCCAAATTGTACACAGTGGAAAAGTAATTCTGCAAAAATTTGTTTGTATTTCGATATTTTGAAGGAAAAAATTTTTCAATATTTGTAACTTTATGGTTGACATTAAGTTTACCTGAACTAAGTTTTCAAACTTAAGAATACCAATGTAGATGAAAGATAATTCTTTATGAAAAGTTTCTCCTGTGGTATAAGCCTAACTTGCATCTTCGAATCCCACATGTACAATAATATTTGCCACTGTTGTTACTGTCAAAAGCTGTATGTGAACACAAGCACACATTAAGAGAACATTACACATTAGTTGGGATGAAACTTTTCATTAAATACTTCATTTTGTTAAAATACTTAATTGGGTACTTTCACTTCAAGAAGAAGATAATGGATACTCACACATGTGACCTATAACATAAGCACCAGCTGATCGTTAATAAGCAAAATGGAGTGTAAAAGTTAAGCTAAGTTTCTCCAAGTTAGAATTATAATTAACATGAAGTTAATTAAATACAGTGCCATATCGAACATCGAATTCGTTGAAATATAATTTATTCTCGTCTACGTCTTTTAATCAACTTAGATGTATTTTTTATTCAAGTATTATACTGTAACCACGATATATTTTTGTTTTGGGTGATTGGCAATTTTGAAGCATAATTAGTTTGGCCATGTTCTACATGGCTTTGTGTTAAGTAAGAAATATACAGTGAAATAATTGAAATCTTTATAATGAATACAGAATGTGTCACTTAAGAAATATACAATGAAATAATTGAAATCTTTGTAACGAATATAGAATGTGTCACTTCAGAGAATTAATATCTGTTGGGCTTGGCTTACTCGAAATAGAAAGAAAAGAATAGTTGCTAATGTAAACAAAAGCCAGGTTTCAACAACCAATCAGGATCGAGGTACTCACACTACAGCACCTGCAGGCACCCCATTTTGTTTATTTTGCTCATTTAAAAAAATAAAAATTAATTTTTATCCTTATCATAATCCATTGATTCAATATCTTTATTTAATATCAAAATATGTAGGTAGCAATTTTATAAATTGTTAATGTAGTTAAACCTACATATAAAATTTTAATTCAGGCATGGCAATATTGCATTCATTCTTTAAATAAACAATGGGACAGAACTAAGAATTTTTTAAAATTAAGTAAATTTTCTAAAAATATTACATGTTTGTTAATTATTAGTGGTATGTTGAAACAATATTTCTTGAAATAAAAATTTAATAAAAAATGCAAAAACTACCATTTAGTTGATTTTTAATAACTTTCAATTGATGATATAAAAACAAAAAAATTTTGTAACAACCAGTTTGTTCCAACCTCTTGAAATTATAAAAACTGGACATCATCAATCTATTATACCAAAAATATTTTAGAAAATTGTCTTGAAAATAAAATTCATTCAAACCAATTTAAATGAATCTACACCTATTGAAATTTTACTTTGTAAACACTTGCACAAACATTGTAAATTTATGAAAATACTAATCATAAGGTATGGGAGAATCTCAAAAACTCAAAAAAATATTTAAGCAATATTTGAATAGCACACATATACATTAAATAAATACTTATACAATGCCTAGTGCTAGGAATATGAAATTTTAAACTAAAACATCTCAGTTCCCCAGCAACGGTATTTTCAAGGAAAAGTGAAATTTTGAAGTGTAATAGAAAACCTTTCAATTACCTTGTCATAATAAAAACGTTATAAAAATAAAAGTTTTGAAAAAGAAAAAGTGAGATAAAAATCACACAAAAAATCACACAATGAATAGAAACAAAATTTGACGTAAAAAATTTCTTACACAGTTAGGTATAAGAAAATATTAACTCAGTGAACTAATTAGAAAAGTATTGTAGCAAACAAATAGGCAAACCAAAATTTGTATATGAAACTTAAAAATTGGGTAAAAACAGTAGGTCAAGTTAAGGCAAGCTTGGAACTCAAAAATTGAGTTGAAACTTTGTTACAGTAAATGTTCTACCTCTACAATTAAAAATACATCAATATCATTTTTAACTAGAAGTACAGTTCCTAGTATCTTAAACTAAACTTTTTTTAAGCAGCAAACAAATAGGCAAATAGAAATTGGGTAACAAAAGTATCTAACCTCTTAAACTCCCTGTACTTTCTTCGTTTTTCCATTGGTTCCTCAGGATACCTCTGCATAGGGGGTAAATCCATGGGTGCAGAATAATCACGATCATCAGTGGGCATTCCTTTTGCTTTCTTTGCTTGAGCTTTTGCTTTGAAGAATTCATATAATCCCAACTGTTCCCATCCTTCACTAGATATGACATATGAACTATAAAAAGAAAGTTAAAATTACTTATACACTTTTTCTGGGAACAATGAGGAAAAACTTTCCTCGATGTCCTAAATGAATGCCCTAAATGCTTCAATCGGCTACTCCCAAACATATCTTGGACTCAGCAGAGAAGAAATCTACTCATCTTCCACGTTTGTCACAAACATGTTTAAAGTCAACGGTTTAATAAGAAAAAGAAGAAAATATCAAAATCACTAGAACATTAAACATTCATACTACTAGAACTATATTCAATAGTAAAATTCCCATCCAATTTATAAACAGCATATGAATTTTTACAGGATGCATTGCCAAACTTTTCAACAAAAAATTAGCACCTTTTCAGCACTTTTCAAGCCTTTAAAAAATATTTTTAAGCATTTAAAATATATCATAATTAGACAGAGTCGGCAAGTTTTTGTCAATTTATGTTTTTTTTGTTGTTTTTTTTTTTTGCTTGCCAGTGACGAAAACGAGGGCGCGTCACCAATCATGGAATTAACAAGAGAAATAAAATTTTCGATCACTATTAGACAAAAAAAATTTTACAATGTTCAGTTCGTCCCTATAATCAGCAAAAATTCGAGATATTGTACAATGCACCAAAAAAATATAGACCACCCTGAATAACTATTTATCCAATGATCGGATCTACACGTTCTAAGACTCTATCTTAACGGTTCAAGGGGGTTATCTCAAATATGCTAATTAATTAGTGCAGAATATCGACGAATATTAGTATATTGAATATTAGTACGAAATCAGACACGATACTTTCTCTGAATAAACATGCCTTTTTTTTCTCCAATGGATTCAGATTTGAACCCCCAATTTAATTTTAAAGCATTTAATTTTACATGGCACAATAAAAATTTTTTAATGAAGTCGGTCAAATAGTTTCTAAGGAATCGAATTTTAAATGTCTGACTTTTTCGAAATTGAATTTCTCAGGAACTATTCAACCGAATTTGCTCAAGTTTTTACTTTGCCATGCAAAATTACATTTTTTTTAAATTATGCAAAAAATTGTATATCTTACAATTCAAAACTTTTTACTATCATTAAATAAAATAATAGAAATTAACTAAAATTTATTTTTTGAATGAAATTATCTTTGGATAAACTAATTTATAATCGTGTGCAAAAGTTTTTCAATTGGCTTAAAAAGTTTTCTCGGCATATGGCGAAATATGCAAAAATAAAATTAACATTAAGGGGTCCACTCTTTTGATAACTCACCCTGACAAAACTATGGGGACCATGTTTTCCAGATTGCACAAACTCCCTATATTTCTGGGATCAGAAATCCGAATCCGTCCACAAAATGGTGTTCCATGAACAAACTCTCATCATCAGACCTTCTCTGAATGTTTAGTCATAAACATTCAGAGAATTTTACCTTTAATTGAGAAGTGAAGATAGTATAATATTATTGAATTATTGATTTTTTTAATTTTACACGGTCATTAGATCAAAAGTTATTCAGGGTGTTCCTTTTTTTTTTGGCATACCGCACCTATATATATATCTGTTTTAATCTGATCAGGTAATTAATATAAACTTCTAAATATAGTTAGCTTCTTTTTTTTTACACTTTTAATTTTAAAGGTAAATGGATAATTTATCATTCAAATAAAGATTGGAGCTATTTTATTTAGAAAAAAAAGACTCGATTTTGTGTTACTTTTTAATACACACTTACTTGTTTCTGTTTCTTTCATGAGTTGGAGGACAATAAAACTGCTCCACAGCAGCAAGAAGACGATCTGTTGGTAAGGCTGGTGGTGGTAATCTTACATCCTCTGGCTCTAAAGGCTTAGTATAATCTGAATCCTCCAGCTGAAATAACAAAGAAGCACACACTAAAATTCAGAATGTGCAAAAATGCAGCATTTCGAAAAAAATTGCAGATTAGAAATTAAACTGTCATGGCTAAAGCGGGTCATAAAGCGATTATTCAAAAGTGCGCTTCGGAATTCGCGGATCGTAATAGCATTAAATTAAAAATTAAATCAATATTTTAAAAACTATGTGAAAAATCTCAAGCTGTTGAAAATGCTACTAACAAAACCACATGGACAATAAAATAGTCACAAATCGAGTGCATCGAAAATTCTTCAAATATGCAATTCATAATTTCCTGCGTATGATAAGGTAGCATTAAAAAACTATCTCCATAGCAATAACTGAAAAAAATGCTATCGTAAATCCACGTAGGACTTTGGGTGAATCATCATTAATTGCGTGCAAGATTATGCTCAGCACTGTAAAATCATAATAAAAAAATTAAATTTCAAAAAATAAACAGCAATTGCTATTAAATTAGAGGTGCAACATGAGAGATGTTTATTCGATATTAGAGATGTTTATTCGATGATTAGAGATGATTATTCGATTAAGAAAACAATAATGAAAATAAACAAATTTGTGAAGGGTTCAATTAAAAGATAAATTATTTTGTTTTTCAGTTAAAATATTTTGTGAAGGGTCCGTTTTAATGAAATGATATTTTGTGAAGGGTCCGTTAACGAACCACAATTTCCCCTAAAATGATCCCTGATTACACAGATTAATGTATAATCAATTACATGCAGAATAGTATAATCCTGAATACCCGACTCTAAATTATAAGATAATGTGGTTACCGATTTCATACATCGATATAGATAAATATATCGATATAGGTAAAAGGTAACCTTATGGTTAACCTTTACATGCACCGTAAATCTAACTTACATTACGAGACTGGCCGATGTTGAATCAATACCCAATTGACCCAAATTTCTTCTAAACAGACCCCTGTATTCCTTTATAGTTTTGGCCACCAAAAATTTTTTTTTACTATATCTGATAAAATTTAAAATATAGTTTATATTTTTTTAAAGTAAATTTATGGTGATCAAAAATTTGAACATGGCTAACATTTTTTTCTACTGAAATTCGTAATGAACATAAGCAAAAGATAAGGTGTTCTTACTGCTACTAGGGGTACCATAAGGCCTGCAGGTAGATCATAATAAGGAGGCTGAATAGGAGGAAGTCCTGGTTCCAAATAATCTGGTGGCATATCTTGTGGACCCATACCTTATCAAATAAACAAATGTAAAATTCATAAGCATTGCCATAAAATGACATTATATATGATAAAGATATCTTTTTGTTAAATCAAGATCATAATTTTAAATTTCTAGACATGATTCAATCAAACTCTTGTACAATGTCAACCAGTGTGACGTAACTACCACTACAATTATTAAACATCAAGTTACTAGTATTTAAGACATGCTAACTCAATCCAATCTTGAGGTACCTTATGATAAATGAAGGTTGGCATGGTCGAAAACTCTTTTCTCCAAACTTAGTGTTTGGATGTTTAATAATTGTAGTGATAGTTATACCACAACCATAGATTCAACAATTTGGTAGTCCAACACCCTTTTTTTGTTTCTACTTTTGTACTCAAATTTTAAAAATGTTAGGATAAAACTCAAATATGCATTTTTGCATTAAACAAAATGTATGTTTTAAAAACTTTCCAAATGTAATGTTTTTGTTAAAATTATTTTGCTCTTAAAAAATTTTTGAAAATAAGGAGACTTCATCTGACACAAAGTATGTGTCATATAATATGTATATTCATACATGCCAACATTGGAGAAATAAAATTATGGAGATTTTACTAGCAACATTTTTTAAGCTACAAGTAAAGTTTTGATACATCATGCATAGTCATGTAAGTCTAAAAGAGAATTTCAAAATAGAAAATTATATAACCGCTTACATTTAGCAAAGAAAAAAATATGTATATAAATCTTAATCTAAAGAAGACTTTTTTAAAACATTATTTATATTTACTTAAACTATAAACACTCAACATACTGCAGTATTGGCAATGCCACCATCTGTTGAGGAATAAGAGAAGTATTTAGCCATTAGCGGATATTTTATCGCCAAAAAAAATCTTTTTTTCTATTTCTTCAACAAATACAGAGAAATTCAAAAAGAAATGGGTAAACAAGAGACAATCATAAAATCCATGAGTCTTCGTTAAAAAAACATGAGACTTAGCAGGTATGCATATCTGGCGACCTCATTTCATTTTCTATTTGTAATTTAAAATTGCTTGCAATAATTTGCATGCATTTTATATTTTCCTTTTATTGTTCACAAATAAATAGATATAAAAAAGCACAATATTCTCTTCCTTCTTAAAGCAAACGGAAAAAAACATAACAATGAAAAAGAAAATATTTTATACCAAAAACTGGTATGCACATAAATATAGTGAATAATGTGGACTTAAGATAAATGGATTAATTTAATACTAAATGACTCAATTTTTACCCATTGGAGGTATATCTCTGTATGGTGGAATAGGCCGACCATACGGCCTCTCATGGTGTGGGGGTGGGCCATAATCTGGATCAAAAGGAGGCCCATAATAATCATCCATATAATGTGGAGGCAAAGGTCGTCCATTTGGGTGATGACGACTTGGGGGAATATCGTATGGTGGTTCATGCAAATCATCAGGAGGATAATCTCTCGGATGCATACCCATTGGAAGAGGATCCATTTCTAAAAAACAAAAATAGCAAGAATAAAGAAACCGAAGCATTAAAACAGAACACTTAGTAAAGAGTAAAACTAGAAGTCACTGTGGCTGGCCTAGCCTTGAAATAATGAGGTTCATGGGTTCCAGACCTTTAATCCTCCTTCTGATCAAGTACAGCAAAGGGCATGACACAAAAATAGTTTAGCATATCAGTGGTGCAATTTAAGTAAAATTATGAAGTTGCTTCTTAAATTAATTTGAACTTAAGAAAAATGGAAGGACGTTAAGTTGTGAAATTAAAAAATAAGTAATAAATAAAAAATAACTAACCTTTTACCTATGTATAATATAGTTATCTAAATGTACAGATAAATAATCCTTTTTTTAAGAAGTAATAAAACTAGAGTTACAGAAGAAATCGACATTTCTGTACTTAAATTCTCATTTGAATTAGCTTATAATAAAATGTTTCAAGCAATGAAGCTTTTATTACAATATTAACAGATGGAAGCAAATTTTTTATATGATAAGTCTTCTGGGTTAATCAATAGTGGCAGATTGAATGTATGTAAAGAAAAATTAATTTTCTCAGTAACTGAGATAATTGTATCAAAAGTAAACAACCAATGATATGAACTGAGAGCATGCCTAAAAAGTGGTGCCACTGAGCTTCACAGAAGATTAAAGAGCAGTTTATACGGTAATTATTGAAGAATATAAATTTGAAGTTGTTGACAATTTCATTTACTTGGGTTCTGTAGTCAACAACACAAACAATATTACAATAGATATACAAAGGGAAATTACAATAGCCAATAGATGTTTTAATGGAATTAAAAAATACATAAAATCTAATGCAATTCATAGAAAAAGAAAGATTTTACATAAATCTCTTTTAAGATCAATTTTAACAAATGCTTGAGAAAACTTGACCACATCTTGTATGGATGAGGTAATGTTGGGTGCCTCTGAGAGAAAGGTATTGAGAAGTATTTTTGGAGGAATTTTTAAAAAAATGGTGTGTGGCTTACAAGAACAAATTTAAAGCTTTATCACTCATATAATGAACCTGACATTATTCACTCTATTAAACGACAAAGAATAAAATGGGCAGGCCACTTTATCAGAATGGACGAAGATCGTACCACAGAGTTTTCAATGCCAGACCAGTTGGCACATGAAAAAGAGGCAGGCCGAATTTGAAATGGATAGATCTCGTAGAAATGAGATACATTTTTTTTTAAATACATGAAATACATTTTAGGTAACAAAGCTGTAAAACAATATCCTTTTTTTTTTTACTTATGTCATATTCGAGCAACTATCACCAACATGGTTGCCACTCAAATCTGGAAGTAAATTCCCTGTGTTTTCTCTGTACATATTATACACAATATATTTAGAGAAAAACACAATCACTCTGCTCTTTTATGAGCTGTACTGAGCCAATTATACTAGTTATAATTGAAAAAAAAAACTTAGAGAAATAAGAAACAGCTGAACATACTTAGAACAAATACTGCTATAGTAAATGAACTAGTATAATATAGCTGAAATATCATCCTTAAATATCCCATCGACTGCACTCTGAGTAGTTAAAATTTTTTAAAAGACGAAAAAAGAAACAAAATTCCCTGTATCTTCGCAGTTTCTAAAGAAAAGACTCGAAATTCCTTGTTATTTTAGGTTATTTCAGGGTTGCCACAGAAAAAAATGAACAAAATAGTTGCTTTTAGTAGTTTAAAGCATGAAAATAGTTGCTGAAAACTATGAAAATAGTTGCCTAAATAAAAACAAAAATTCATCAAAAATACAACTAAAATTTTTATTAAATTGCTTAACTGTCATATACCATGATCCATTAAGTCAAGTTGGTGGCAAATATAATAACTTTTATATAATTGTTAGTGCTCTAGCACTAAGTTTTTATAACAAAACAATTAATATATTAGCAGAAAAATAAACTTTTAATTAGTAGAATTCATTCAAAAAAAATACTTTTTCGTTAAAAAAACATACTTTTTCATTAAAAAAACATACTTTTTCATAAAAAAAAAACATAATTTTTCTAAAAAAATTTCCCTTTTAAATTCATATTCAGTAATATCGTATTGAAAATTGGGTTTTTTAAAATCATGCGAAATTTCGAAGCAATAACCATTGAAAAGGCGATCAAGAAATTAAATAGAATTGTTTTTAATAGGATATTTAATATATATAATAGGAATTTGTGCAAATTGAATAAATTAGAAGTGCTGACTTAAATTTGCCATTAAAAATTTTTCATTTTTTAAGAAAAAAATTGTGTGTTCAGAAGCTCAAGCGGGCAGCAGGTTTTCAATCTAATTCATGCTTTAAAAAACATCGCTAGGAGCACAGAAAAGTCTTCCAATAGTCTCCTTTTCTTGAAAATAGTTGCTTTTTGAAGCCTTTTTATGCAAAAAAGTTGCCATATCGCCGCCTCAAGCCAAAAATAGTTGCATTTTAATCGTCTGTGGCAACCCTGTGATTTTTAAATTTCCTGTATTTTCCAGGTTCTCCCTGCGGAGTGGCAACCCAGTCCAATTGAAACAATTTGTGAAAAGGAGGTCTTTCCAAAATCAGTGAATGAAAATTACATTTGATTAAACCAAACGAACAAACTCACCAGCACCCAACATATCTGGATTTCGCATGTCCAGGCTCCGCATGTCAGGATTCCTGATGTCCGGATTTCTCAAGTCCATACTCCTCAATTCAGGATTTCTGAGTTCTTGATTCCTCATGTCCAGGCCCCTGAAGTCTGCTGGTCTGTCATCTGGATTCATGGGCTCAGAATCGTGTCTTGAATCACTACCCTGAGAATCAGACAGCTGAGCTGCTTCCAATGGAGGAGCAGCGCTCAGTTCTTGGGGTGGTTTGGCTGCTTCTTCTGAAACCTTAAAAAAAAAATATACATTTCCATAAGAGAACAGTTTTCTGAACATAACCAAACATTTTTAGCGATGAAAGAATTAAGACAACACGGAGAACAAAGACAAGAATAAAGACAAGGAAGAAAGAATAAAATACAGTTTTTGTTTCACAGGGTTGTCACTCAAATCTAGAGAAAAAAAATTCCCTGTACAAATTATACACAATAAATTAAGAGGAAAAACACAATCACTGAATGAGCTGCATTGGGCTTACTAGTTATAATTTCTGAAAAAACTTAAGAGAAAAAAAGGTACAGCTGAACATACTTAAAACAAATAATGCTATAGTAAATGAACTAGTATAATATAGCTGAAATATCATCCTTAAATATCCCATAGACTGCCCTTTGAGAGGTTACCATTTTAAAAAAGACGAAAATAAGAAACGAAATTCCCTGTAATTTGCAAGTTTCTAAAGAAAAACTCAAAATTCCCTGCATTTTCCCCGTTATTTTAGGTGATTTTTAAATTCCCCATATTTTCCCTGCGGAGTGGCAATGCTGCATAAGTAAACAGTTCTTTGAATAAAACACTTTTAGGGATGTAAGAATAAAAATTAGTACAGTTTTTGTTTCAACTCGGGGACAACAAACAAAAAATATCTGAAAAATGGGGCTATGTTGTTCAATATAACTTTAAATTTAAAACAAATGTGGCTACTTTTAGTATGTGGACCTAGAAAACATACGTACGTACAGCAGACTTCAGGTTATCTGGCTAGCAACTATCCAACCTCTGCGTTATCCGGAATAAAGGAATGAAAAATTTGGAATAATACTGGTCATTAATAGAACTTGTTGTGGGAGGCGGATAAAGAAGGAACAAAAACTGCTAAAACTATTGTTTGTAATTTTTAACTCTTCCTAGTCATAACTTTTCTAATTGTGTAGTTTTTTTTAATTAAATCTTTTAATTAATATTAATAATTAATTAAATAAAAATAAACATTTTAATTAATAAAATTTATTAATTAATTTTATTTCATTAATTCTTTTTTTTAATTAATTAATTCAATACTTTTGCCTCAATCACTTATTTTAAAATCTGTAACAAGTGATTTTCCTATTATGGGGGAGGGATTGGGAAGGGGAAATTCTTTCTCTCTGGCTATTTTCTTATCTAGTCTACCCTTTCCTTATATTAGGCCAGATAGTCAATAGTTAGCTGCATTAATAGTTAATAAAATAAATTTTTCAAATTATCGTAATAAAGAAAATTATCTTATTACAATATATTTATTAATGTATATTTCTATGATTGCATATTTTATAGTAAAAGTTATATATTTTATTAAGAAGAAATTCAGAAGTGTTCAGATATATATATATATATATAAGGGTGGCAGTCGGCTGAGCAGTACAAACAGGCACAGAATTTTAAAAAATTAAATTCATTTTATATAACCATCATATCCAGAGAATGAATGACCAAGTGACACAAAATCAAAGTACTCCTCAATAAAATTTAGGAAAAATCTAGCAAAATAAATGCATACAATTTTTCCTTTTAAGGAATAAGGGAAATCTTAATAATTACAATTGGTCTATTAAATAGGTTTGAGGTAATAAGTCTTGCCCGCGGCTCAAATAAAGGGGAAAATCAAAAATTTTAATTAATGCATAACTTGAAGCCAAAAATAGATTAAAAGATAGGATGTGGATATTAAAGTGTGAGAAAGAGCATTTAGTTTTGAATAATAAATTAAGAAAAAGATTTAGATAAAGGAATAACATAAAAAGATCAGTTGAAGCTTTTTATGTTACATATAAATATATATATGCACACACACACACACACACACTTATATATATATATATATANTTTAATGAGTTGTTTAAATATATTAGTGATTGAGATTGTTTATGAAGACAAAATTAATTTAGTTTATTATTTAAAATTAATTTGACTTTTGAAACCTTTTTTTTTTCTTGTTGTTGGTGGGAATGTGCATGAAATTTTCAAAATCTTACCCTTACTGTAAAGCATTGGCCAAAAACTGAAGTTCTGTATATAGAAATAACCGAATTTAAGAATTATGTGCTTATAATTACAAATAAACTCAATTAGAAATTATCAAATGAACGAATGCATAAGAAAGAACAGCTTCCTCGTGTTGGTATCTCTTTTTGACCCCATGCAAACCCTAACTTTTTAACACATATATATATATATATTTTTGTATTTTTGAAAGTTATCAGCAGGTGGCAGCACAAATCATAGGTAAAAAAAACAGCTGCCTAGTCTTGTATAAAATTCAAATAAAATGCAGAATAACATACCACTGGGGGAGGATGATGCAGTCGGGGGTCTTGAGGTGGCACTTGCTGTTGCTCGAACGTTGGTGGCTGCAGGTAGGGAGTGGCCGCAACTGGCTGAGCAGGCATCAATTGAGGGGACTGGAATGCATATGGAACAGGCATCTTCAAAATGAGAAAAATAAGTAACACTTTGAAAGGAACAAAATAAGAAAGACTTAACGCAAAATGAAGTTTAGAGAGTGATTTTTTAAAGAAATTCTCTCAAAAGTCTGTTCTACTAAGACTACTACTCTAGATATCTGAAAAACATAAAATAATTGTAATAAGCATGCAAACAATTACTCCATGAGCAAAAGTGTTGCAGAATCAAATTAGTGAATATTCTAACTACAAATGAATTTAAGAACAATAAGAAAAAATTAATAATTCATGCTGATTTTGTGGTATAAAAAAGACTTGTTGGAAATATTGTGTACCACATTATCAATGAAAATAATTCAAATTGGAAAAACATTGTTTAATAGTTTTTTCGATAATCGACTGATGACAAAATTTGCAACTAGTCTTGAAAATTAATTAAAATAAATAGCATAGTTTCATAATTTTAGTCGATTTTTCAAACAAGTCATTTTTGAGACACCTACTAAAATAGGGAATAAATAACTTGAAAATAGTTCTACAAGCAAAAACATACACAAACGAAATTATAAAAAAAACTTCTTCTATAATCTAAAAATACCTGTTGCATTTGTCCAGTTAGATGAGCAACAAAATCTTGGTGCTGTTTTTGAAGTAAAGAATACTGCGTCTGAATTGCAGTAGTGATAGGAGTAATTAAAGGTGCAAATTCTGCAATCAACCCTGCCTGCAAAAACATAGAAGAATTAGAACAAGTGTAGCTAACACTTAAAAATCATTAAGAAATATTTTATTTAAAAAATACCTGGTAGGCAGCAAGAGAAGCAGCAGGATTTTGTAATTGCTAAAATAAAATTTTTCAAAAAAAATTTAACTCATGTACAATTTTCTTGATCATATGTACAATGTAAAAATAAAACTTACATCGAGAATTTGCTGGGGGAAATACTTGTTCGTTTCCCATAACTTATGTAGCTACAGGAAAAATAAAACAAATTTATATGAAATTTGGCATTACAATAATTTAAAACACTTTTAACGTCAAAGAAAAAAATTATTAAAAAAAAAGAGAGGAAAAAAACAGATATTATTTTTTGCACACTGTCTATAATTGTTACAGTTTGTCTAAAGTAAGAACTCCCCTAGCCATTTGTCTGGACCTGTGGGGGTAACTATGATAACAAGATATAACTATTTCAACTAGGGGTGTTAGGTCTATTTAGCACAGGTTTTGGCTCACGTCGGCGATAGAAAGCTAAACTTTTTTTCCGGTCTATTGTGTTAGCCCTAGAGTGACGAGAAGCTGCCCTTCTTGAAATGCACTATTCTTGTTTCAATAGCAGCAGACGGTCTCAAACTTTGTGGAGAGGGGTTCTTACCATAGACAAACTATAGTAAACCTCCACTTAAGCATAATATTGCTTACAAATCAGTTTCAATAATTTATATTTTATTGCTTCAGACTAAAAAAACAAATTCCTTAAAAAACTAAAACTTGAACATGAGTTCTTATATGAGAAAATGCAGAGGAAACTTTCCATGCCAACTTTCCAAATTAGAATTAGTAATCAGTATTGCTGTGCTTTTTGTGTATCATCGGATTTACATCTTTATTTCAATGTTTGAATTTTTAAGGTATTGCCTTTTCTTGTTTAGTTCCTTCCTTCTGGGGCCTCGGGGCACTGTCAGCTTTTGGTTTAACCACTGACAACAGAAAGGCTCCAGTGTGTTACCATACTGTGTGTCCTCTGATGAAGTACCGTTTTTGCTAACATACAAATCCTTAAAATTTTGTTTGCTTATTTTTAGTTACTAACTTTTCATTTAAATTGTTTACGTAAGACAAATTTGGTTTTAGCGCTTTTCCATTTTAGCTTATTTTAAAGTTTTATCCTAAAAATTTTATCTTAAAGTTTGTTTAAATCAATTTCATACTTTGATTGGATAATCAGTAATACAATAACAAAACACAATTTAAAGAAGCAAAATTTTAAGATGAATATATTACTTAATTTTATGTTGACACAAAATATAAAAAATTTTGCTTAAAAAGAGTGAAAAATGTGAGCAGACAAAGGTGCCAAATTAAAAGATTTGAAATTATATACTTCATCATAAATTGATTACTTGGTATCATTGTTCAAGTTTTTGGTTAAATTTTGAGCAAGTCTTGTTGGTCTTGTTAAAAATAGCTTGGTGAAAAAGGGAAAGATGAGATTAAGTTCTTTGCTCCTATTACTTTACTTTTCTTGTTTCATTTTTATTATTCATTACTTTAGAATTGTTTAGGTAGAAAAAATTGCAAGCAAATAACAAAATTTCATAACTCTTGATAGTTAAAGGAAAAATGAGTTTGAAACAGATTATTTTGAAAAGTCTTAAAAACCATAATTTTAATGACTCAACAGTAAACCACAATCTTGACCATGAAACAGTAATATTTATGAATAAATCCTAATAGTTGGCACCTCTGTGTATGTATGCAGAGTAAGCTAATAAACAAAGAGCTAGAAATAGAAAGTAATTTTTTAAAGAATGCTATAAACCTTTAACAGCTTTTGTTGTTTTTCTGCCTCTACTCCTATACTGGTTGAGCAAAATATTGGAACAACAGATTTATCCAACACTTTTTTTAAGTCATCAGCATTTTTTCTAATACTGAAAAAGAAACAAAAAACAAATAAATAAACTATAGCAAATACTGAGAATACAATGACTAAAAAGTAATATAAGTAATCCACAATAATATTGACATGATAAATTTGAACACATTGTAACTTCTTTAAAGGTCCCTTATTGGAGGTATTTAAATAAAAATTATCTTTCTCTAACATATGAATTCACATTATGTGAAATTAATACAAAAAATTAGTCTCATATACTTATGTTTCTATTAAAAATTCATCATTTACAGTTGTGTTGCAAAGCAAATAAAATTATTAATTACTAATTTTCAGCGTATATTTTTAATTTTAAATGCTTTCCCTAACCTCAACAAAGAATCAATTAAAATATATATTTATTTTATGTTTTAATGTTTTTACAATTTCTTAGAGCCGTGATGACCTTTCGATGTTGCGAACCGCGCTCAAATCCCAGCACTGGCTGGTCAATAAGAATTCCGCAACAGCTTGCACAGACCACAGTGCTGACGTAAAATATCCTCAGTGGAAGAAGAATCATGGGTTAGAGTCCCCTTACTGTCAGGCTAACCGTGAGAGTTCTTCCTCTCCATGTAACACAAATGCGGGTTAGTTCCATCAACAAGTCCTCCACGAAGGCAAATTTCAAGGCTACGGAGTGGAACAATAGTAGTCGTAAACCCAAAAATTGGGTTGGTTGTTCAACGACAGTTATAAAATAAAATTAAGAAGTAAATACACATTAAATGAAGAGGAAATTACCAGTGATGTAGAACATCATTTACTAAATACACCAGGTGAAGTTTAGCTTCAAATGTAGCTCCAGGTTCTGTGATTCTAAACACAATTAAAAGCATGTGAACATTTAAATAAATCACCATAACAAGAATAGTCAATTACAGAAATAAGCACATTAGGACAAACGACTTAGTCTGGTAATTAGTATAACATATCACTGAACATTTCTAAAATCTTAAAAAAACATATTTATAAAAAAAAAAATCCATAACACAGAGCCAGTGAACTCATTCTAAAAATGCAACAATAGAGTAACAAAAACAGCACCTACTGACTTTTAGAACAATCTAGTAATTATTCATATTACTTTGTAATCAATAATTTGTAATATGATAATTTGTTTCGTAATAGTTCAAAAAATTCTGTAAAAAAACTAAGGGTACGTAGTCAGTTTTTCATAAAAAATAAGCACCTTTTAAATACTTTTTAAGCACTCAAAAAATATATTTAATCATTTTCCAAAAAAAAAATTCATAATTAGGATCTGTGCAGTAATAAAAAATAAAAATTTCTATCGTTTAAAGTTCTTAACTTTTAAACATAAAATCAATAAAATTCAAAAACATTTTCAAAAACTTTACATAATTATGATAAAATAACTAGTTTGTGATAAATATTGCAGAGAAAATTGTGAAAATCCTACATTTTTTGTAATTTAGAACAATTGATGTGGCAAAGAAAAAACCTCTTATTAAAAGAAAATTAAGCACTTTTTACAAACCATGAATAATAAAAAAAAACACCTTTAAGGGCTTTTAAAAACGTAAATCAAAAATAAGCATTTTTTAAAAAACACACAGCATCTATAACAGAAAAGAATAAAATCTTAATAAATAATATTATTTGAATCTTGGTTTTCAAAACCTTAAGAAACATTATTATTGGATTTGGTTCAGCCTTAATTTCATCAATCAGATTCTCAAGTTTTTAATGCATGTTTTATACAGATTTTCATTTCAATAATAAAACTACTATAAAAAATATAGTTGGCAAAATGCTAGAAAATATTTTCCATCACTTATAAAAATTAGTAACTAGTCACTAATTTTTATTGGTAAAATTAATCATTAGTAACTTAATACAAATTGTTTGTTCAAAACAAAGGAGTGAATATTTCCATGTCCGAATCATATTCAATATTAAGACAGATTGAATCACTTTAATTCTTTAAGTATGGACACAAGTATTAAGTATTAAGCATGGCATATTATGGAGCACAAAGCTAGTAGAGCATATTCTACTAGCTTTGTGCTAGGCAATTCGTTCTTAGTAACTATCATTGTAGAATGTAACAAATAGCTAAAGTTAAATAGTACTAATAGTAAATAGTTTACAGTTTTAGATATGAGTAAAAAAAATTTTTTAATTAAATTTATTGGTATGCCTTCAAATTCAAATTGTTCTTCAAATTGTACTCAAATCTATTGTTGTAACAAAAAACTCTTTTACCATCATATTACATACACTCTTTTAAATTGTTGTTTAATTACATAATAGCTAAATCTTCTATTTCATTTATTAATGTAGGATTGGCAAACAACAAAATAATAAATTTAATTATTACTAAATTATATGCACATTTGGTTAGCCTAAATACTGATACTACTGCTACTGATATAATACATATGCATTTAATATATATATATATATATTTTTAATGGCCGGCACTTGGGTCCATTTCCCAATGGTTTCAAAAATGCCAGACTTGCTCCTCTTTTATTGTTACCCAGTGGGCACCTGTGGCTAAGCCATGGCGGTGAAGTAGCGTCGCCAACTTCATACAACCACAAACCCATTTATAGGGTAGGTTACATTCACACAAAAGAAAGGGCATAGAACACAGAGAGAGAGAGAAAGGTACATCCATGCCTCCGATGGGATTCGAGCCACCACTAAAGTAGTGATCGAATGCATTTAGCAATATATCATTAGATTTATGCATTCAAATTCATATGCATTTAGTTAGACTAAATATAAAAATGACTGCAAGTTGCAAATTGATATTTTGCATAAATCAAGAAAATCATTTTTTAAAAAAAGCAATGTACTCACCTTTTAAGTATATAAAGGATGATAACTTCGCATCTTTGTGGAGTAGTTGCATTGGCAAAAATCCAACCTTTCCCACCCTAAAAAAAATTGAAACATAAGTCTGTTTAAAAAAAATCTAATGAAACAATTTCTTATCTACAGCATTAGCATTCTTTTCATTAGACAATTTTTGACAGTTTTAGCCACAAAATAGTTGATACTATGTAATAAATAAAGACATAAGTACCCTTAAAGAACGAAAACATTGAGAAAGTGAGTGGTAAAGGGATTTTGATGGTACTTATAAAAACCCTACTAATTCGCCCGTCCACAAATTTTCACAAGAGACATGCGTTTTTGTGGGCAACGAATTAACGGTACAGTAGTAAATTATCAATTGATGCAAAATCACGACTTATGATATAATGTATGCAAAAAATATTAATACTGACAATACCGACATGGTTTGTTTTACCGGTAAAAACCATAGGAAAAACATAGTAAATAATATAAACTGATGTTTAATTATTTACAAACATAATGGTTTGTTTTAAATTTTGATTTTATTTTTAAAATCAAAAATACAAATACAAAAATATTGCTGATACTCCTTTTTAAAACATCTTTACACTTGCTTATAATAAAAATTAAAAAGAAAACACCTCAACTGTTTTTCTGTAACTTGATTACAGTCTGTATAGCAATTTGTTAATTTTTTGTTAGTATTATTGTATAAAATTCAACTTCAATTTAAACAACATAAAGTTGTTAGGGAAGAGTGTTAGTGCTTCGAACATCGGCTCTTGCTCCCCAGAGCCCCCAATGGGCTGTTATGCCACTTAGTTTTGTTAACTTAGTTGAGATCTCTTAGATTTATACAATAATAATCTTAGGCTGAATGTGTTGAGGTTTCAGATAAATTTTGATATAAGAAGATAGTGCTGCAAATTCCCTCTGTAAACTCTGCTACCTGGATCATAATTATAGGTAGCATTAACAATGTATAAAATCAAATTCAATAGATTTTAGTGCTGCAAATTTCCTCTGTGAACTATGCTACCTGGATCACAATTATAGGTAGCATTAACAATGTATAAAATCAAATTTAATAGACTTTAGTGCTGCAAATTTCCTCTGTGAACTATGCTACCTGGATCATAATTATAGGTAGCATTAACAATGTATAAAATCAAATTTAATAGATTTTAGTGCTGCAAACTCCCTCTGTAAACTCTGCTACCTGGATCAGAATAGTTTTTAATTATTTAAACGCAATCAATATAAGAAATAATTAACTCTTTATCTGACAAAATATAACACTAATTAACCACAAACTATGATTTTCAGTATAAAACTACCAATGTTTTTCATAAGACTATTGATATATTAAGAGGAAAGGAGTAATTATAAAACAGAATTGATAAAATTCAGAAACAATATGTAGTTAACAGAATTTGGTATCACTAAATGCATTAAATCAAAAAAATTTCATTAAATTTATATTCAATCAATGTAAAAAAAATTAAAAAACACCTTGTTAAACAAAATATAACACTAATCACTCACAGATATAGAATCTTTAGTACAACTGTCTATAATAGGCTGTAGAATACCATCTAATTCTTTAAGTTCTAGCTCTGTTTCTGCAGAAAGTTTGGCAAGTTTCTCGTCCTGTGCTTTACGTATCACTTCATCCACTTGTACCTACAATGTACACATAATAAGTTTATTAGAATTATTACACATTACATAATAATGTTAGTTTATCAGATAATGTAGTATAAACTAGGATTTGCATGTAATTCTTAAATTCTTTGACTTTGTTTTTTCTAGAAAGTATGATGAAGAAAAAGTATATTTATTTTGTGGATAAATTAAGGAAACAACATGAAGCAAGACATGGTCAAGCAATTTAATAAATTTTAAATTGAAACGTATGATGCGACTTGATTTGACCTAAAAAAAATATTTTAACCATGTTGCAGAGAAATGTTTGCAACTTAACCACAAAAATTTCACAGATAAAATAATTGTTTAGTTTTATACTAATTTTTTAGATACATAACATAAATATTATTTTAAATATTGTAGTGTTTCCTAATAGATTTCCACAAAAATGGCTTGATTACAATTTACTCTCTATTGCTAATACAATGAACGCTATAATAGATTTTTAGAAAACTGATAAAACAAAATTTATTTTTGAAGAAAGAAATGTTTTGCAATATACAAAATGCCAAATATATAAAAAAATTTCAATTATGAATTTTCTATCACTTACTTTCATTTTTCTTTTACAAAGCAGTATATTCGCAGCCAACTCTCTTATAATATATATTTTTTTTAAAAATAAACACTTGTTTCAAATTTTTTTTCAGGTTTTGGCAAAATAAAAAAAACAGTATTTCCAGATTATTCCCTGACTTTTATTTATTTAAAACTTGTCAATTTCAGACTATCCTTGATCAGGAAACCAAAAATCACAAATTTTTTGCAAATCTGGTATTCTAATGTACAATAGAATTAACTAAGGAAAAATCAATTTCACCTTTCTAAATTTTCAATTTTTCAACTTTACACAAAGGGCTGTAGTATTAAATTTTTTAGAAAGCTAAGAGATATAAATTTGTAGAACTATAAAAGAGATAAGATAATCTACATTTATTTTGGAAATAAACTGTCCTTTGTCATAAATTCGACAAATACAGTTTTAGCGAGTTGTTTTAAAGTTTATAATGGGGTACCAATACTAAACTAAAAGAAAATGAAATAAATTATTTTAAACTTTTTTGGACGGTGAATGGAAATGACATTTTAGTACTTATACTTAGACTGAACAAACGCAGTTAGTACACGGCTTAGTTAAATGCATGTTATTTTGTTTTTTAGAAAATGACAAATGACTACAAGAAAAAATATTAATTAGAAGACAATTTTTCTTTCTGTGGTTGCTGTTAACATAGGGCAGCAAGACATAAGATTAGACATAAGATTTTCACATTACAGTATTATCTTAAAATTTCAGAGTTCAATAAATCTGAAATGCTTAAATATTTTACTCAATCCAATAGAGATGTCGAAATCACAGGTTTTAACAATTAGAAAAAAGATACATTTTGGTTTCCATCAGAAATAAACATGGATTAGAGGGGAATTTTTAAATAGTTGTTCAAATAATTTCCACATTTTTAAAATTACTTATTTTTGAATATATTACAGCATAAAATTTTAAAATTGTTGCACTGAGTAATCACTATTACATAAACAAGATTCACTTTTGCATAAATAGGATTCAATCAGAAATTTGCAGATTTAAATCTCTAATCATGCATTTCAGCAGGTACTAAATGAATCTTTGATTTGAATCCCTCACTGACGGTCTTGTTGACAACAACACATGCCATACATGACACATGACACATGCCACAACACATGACAACTGCACATGCCATAACACTATTTAAAGCAGTTGTTGTAAACTGCTAGAGTACAACAACTGCTTTAAATAGTGTTATGGCATGTGCACTTGAATGATCACTATTTGACACATCCGAATCTTAAAATCTTTATGGATCCAATTACTTGTGTGCAAAATGATATTTAATCAATAAAATAAATCAAAACAATATCAATAAAGCACCAAAGTACAGTTATGCTTTGCAACCTTTAGGTTGCTTTTCTTAATTGTACATATCACAGAGAATAGCCCATCTTTTAAATACTTTTTTTTTATTTCCAAAGGCCACAGTTATAGAAAGACCTCTACACTATAAAAGAGAAGGAACAAATGTGAACAGATAAAAAAAAAAGAAAAACTTAACAGGTATGGCATCTTTTGAATATCTAATAAACTAAAAGTTAAATAATTAAAAAAAAAAACATTTTAATTACAGTATATAGTTTAATAACAACACAACCCTGGGTCAAATTTATTACCTGCTGCTGTTGTAGTAATAGTTGATGCTGAGCAGCAAGGTTCTGCTCACTCTGTCTAATCTGTTCTTGTGACGTGTCTTGGATTTGTTGAAGGTGTTGTTGCCAAGGAGCTGTTTGTATGGACTGTCTGTTAATAGCTTGTTGTACTATGGCTTGCTGCTCTAAACTTCTTTGCTTTTGCTTCAGAACTGGAAAAAACAATCATACATCAAAACATGAATCGCTTATGTCATAACAAGAAGACATAATTACAAAAAAAGTTTATAGTAAGAAGAGTTTTAATACTCAATAACAAAGAAAAGTTAGTTACTGGGATAGTTAGAAATTAAAAAAATTTAGTCAGTGGCAAAAAAAAAAACTGTAACTGAAAGGTACTACTAATCTGTACTCATTTTCATGGGTACATTTATATGTGCTTCTATTAGATTTTTTTTAAATTAATAAAGAAGTGAATTTATACAAAAAATTATATACCTATGAAAAAAAGGGGATTGTGTATATATATATATATATANATATATATATATTCAATTAGGTCTAGAGACTAATGAAAGTATTTTGTAAAATGTCCTTTTTATGTAACTGTGAAAAGACTACTCATAATTTTGTGAACCTGGAATTAATATTAAATCAAGGTTTAAGGCCAACATACAATTTTCAGCAAATTATGATATCCTAAGTTGGATTTTATAAAAATTATTAAAAAAATAAAAATAAAATAAAAACAGTTTTTGTAGAAGTTGCAGCTTTGAAACCATAAAAAAATTTAAAATTATATCAGGCACCTTAAAATCATAGGAACATATTATTCAAAATATACATAGCAATGGCTATGACACTAGTTTTTTTATTATAAATTTATATAATTAAAAATGATGCATTAAAAATTATGTTCAGTATGAAAACATAAAAAAAAAATTAAGTTAATGATGGTTTAATTATTGATAACAAGTATATTACTTTATTACTTGAAGATTTAAAACTAATATCTGAGAATATGATATGATACTTAAAAATTTTAGCTTTGTTTTTGAATGAGTTGTAACTTTATAAACATCAATCAAATTCGAGAAGTTCATTAGCATTAAAATTTAAGTCGAAAAACTTAAAAGCGAAAAAAAAAAATGAACAATGTATATCCATTGCAAGTAGATAATAAAATAACAATGTAACTTTTAAAATGAAAAATATTGTTAAAATTCAATTTTCAAGATAAAATATTTAGTGTAGAATCTTTATTCACATCAAATATTTTGTAAATAGTCTATTTTCAGAATTAAAAAAAAAATTATGAAAGGTCAGTTTTTAGAACAAAAGCATTTGAGAAAGATCCATCAACAGACCCAAATCATACGTGTAATAAAAGTTAAACTCTTGATAAGTATTTATTTATCTTGAATACTTTTGGCAAACAGTAAAATAGCTTTCAATATTAATTTTAAAAAATCAGTATTTTAAGTTTAACACAACAATTAAAATTCAAACAACAAACTCAACTAAATGTGATACAAAATATTGAAATGCCCGCAAAAAACAAATTTTTAAGAAAGAATATCCACATAAATTGGCTAAAATTTCTGCAAAGTTTTGATTAAAAATAGATAAATAATAGCAAATAAAAACATTTGAATAAATAAGCAAGCCAAAAAATTTCAATCATCTCATGCACTAAAAATATTCAAATAAATTTCACTAACTTAGGCCAAGGTTAATTACTACATTCATGTTTGTTCATTAATTTCAAAAATATACTTTAAATAGGAAAAATAATGCTAAGTCATATTTTTCATCAAAGTAACGGTTATTTTTAAAAGTCGTCACATGATTAGCATTACATAAAAATAAAACAGCTGTGTTGACACAGCTTTTAAACAGCAAATAAACAATAAAATTAAATGATAATAAAATATATGATCGAGAAATAATATAAAATTTCACCTACTTGCTTGTTCAGTAGTTACTCGATATTGATAATAATGGAAGTAGGTGCCCCCAAACAGGAAGGAGAACTTTGGATTGTCTTTTTGCTTCTGTTTTGTCATGTGCTCAAATTCAGGTCCATTACGAGCAACAAACTGAGCTAGTTTGTCAATTATGTTCTTCAGTTCCTGATCTAAAATCAAATTAAATAGTTTTACAGTAAAATCATCATGTTACTTAAACAACATCTTAGCATCTGAATAATAAAACCAAAAAGCTGTTCTACCATTTATACCATCTATTCTAAATTATTAAACCCCCGATTCTCTACCTACAATCTAGTTTTTTAAAAAATACATGATCAAAAACATATTTAAGCCAATTCCTAAGTAACGCATATGAGAATCATTCTATTGTATAACTATCTGATATTACATGTATTAATGTAGTACAAAGACAAAAATTGATATTGTAAAACAATTGAAAAGGTCATCTAAAAATAAGCTATGAAAATCATATATAGAAATGTAAAAATAATATATAAATGCATATGTATAATTATAGAAATATATAAATGCAAAAATAATATAAAAATTAAAATATTCATATTTTAATTTTAATATTAATTTTACATTCAGTTAGTCATGTAGTGACAAAAAAACGGAAAGTGATTTGACAATTTGGCGTTTTTTTTTTTTTTTAATTTGATGCATAATATGCATTAAATACATTTAAAAATTTTCGACATTAGAAATAAGATTGGCAAAGCCAAATACTATTTTACTGGTCATGTATATGACATGCAGAAATATATATAAGATAGTTCAATTTTGCATGACTGAAATTAAAAATTGTATAATATTGAAACCATTAACTATTAGGATCAGCAACACTGATTATATCACCATATTGAATAATTCCTTTATCATTTTCGTGATAAATGAAGTAATATTCAGACACTTGCTTTTAAGAAAACTACATTTATATAACAATTTATTCTACAGCAGATACTATTTGCACAATACAGAGTCTCCATAATCTTTTTCCAAACACTTTTACAAGTACAAGCATGCCAAAGGAACAAACGAAGTGTTATTTCCTGCAGGTACTTTGGAGATACTGTTCTGAATTTTCACAATATAAATTAATGTTCTAGTTGGCTGGTAAACAAAGAAATGGAGTTGTCAGAACTGTAATAATTTCAAGAAGTTCTAAAATGAAAACAGACAGTTAGATTTCTCTGTCGTATTATTTACAATAAGATTTTGTTATTTTTGTTACGTGTTTTGATTATTTCTTCAGCTTTGAAGTAGAGATTATATTTCTCACATGAATAACTCATAGTGAAATCTACTGGTAATTACAAAAATATTACGTATAGCAAGTAGATTTGGTGCAAGTTGAGTGGTGAGATGAATTTAAAACATTAGCTTAGCATTTCAGAATTTCGTGTCACATACCTAAACATAGAAAATTATAATTTCCAAATAATAGGTATTATTTTTAATTTTTGAAAGAAATTTCATAAAATAGTATGATAAGCTTTTGCAAAAAATATACAAGCCCTGAAAACTTTCTTGCTATCATCACTGATAATGCCATTGCCATGATAAAACTAAAGGAGTTTATTCGAGAGAAATACTCAAATTTATCAAAATACACATCCTAAATTTATAAATTAGAATTTCACTGAAAACAAATTCAACGCTTGTATAAGAAAATAAATGCATTCACATTGTCAAAGAAATCAATAATTCACATATACTGTGTACTACATTTTATTCCATCCAAAAAGAAAGCAGTCTGTGGCCATTTAAAAATTCAAGTTAGCTACAATGGAAACAATTAAAATCTATAAATACATTCTAGAGTCTGCAAGATATGCATAAAACAATGTAAATAAATATTGCTTGAACTTTATATTTTCTGGAAAGATACACTCAGCAACACCAACCATTTCAAGGCGAATCAAACAATTAAAACTATATATTTAAAACTGCAGAAGTTCAGATTTAATAAAAAATAAGGGCAAAAAATTTAAGGAAATAAGATGAGCTACACGAATATATAAGCAAGTCGGACAAGACCGGTGAAAGTAAAATTTAAATACGTGAAAATATGCTTAAATCTAAACTTCGTCTACGAGAGAAAATGCTAATTTATCGCTTACCTGGAGGAGGTTGAGGCAAATCCATTATGAGAAAATATAATGTTTGTTACTTAAACTATAAATTTAAAACAATATTTATAAAATGATGCATATTTAAATTTATATATACGAATTTTCTGCAAAAAATATAAACAAAACAATTTTGCAATCTCCAATACAACCGCTCCCTTCAGTTCCTTTCACTTATAAATACATTGGAGTTGCCATTTTTACGAAAATGAATATTGAAGGAAAAGATTGTTTTTAATTTCAGAGTGCAACGCTCGAATGCGCCATCTGGGAAAAAGATCGGTTCCATGTCTTCAACGTTCACCTCTCGTCTTCTCCTTTGGTCAAATGTATGGGAATGTACTACAATATTTTTCCCATCCATAATATTTTTCGTATTAGCTTCCTACCTTTGAAAAATTTTAGACTGTTTGAAAAACGGGACAGAAGCTAACTTACTTACTTCGCCTATGACTGTCCACACACTACTGAGAAAGCGTACGAAGTATTGCCATAGGCTGGGCTAATTCAATCACCAATAATTTTTTTAAATACATTTTACGCATATTTTGTTAACTATTTTCGTATCAATCAACATATTGAGTTTTGATCTATTTAAAGTTATGTTCATTTCTCATATTGGCAGGCAACGTTCATTAGGCTGGGAGCAAAATTTGCCAATGCATATCTGACGAGGATTTCATGCATTGCATTTGAATTTCACTCTTAAATTTTACCATAACTTTTTGTTTGTTGAATAGATTGATTTTTCCCTGCTTTTAAATAAGGATAATTCGTTCAAATGTCAGAAAGTGTACAAAGAGTGTTGACGAAAGATTATTTTAGGTCCCTTAAATTCAAAATATTAATTGTCATTGCTCTAACGCTAAAAATATCTATTGTCTAGTAATCGCAAAATGAACACACGGTAAAGCTCACTCGTTTCGTGAAGTAGGTGGAATTGGGAGTATTAGCTAAAATCATTTACCAAGCAGAAACAAGGTTGAACGAGACCGTCAAACTAACGTTACACCTCAATCTTAAAAAAAATTGATTAGTCAGTTACTATCACAGGTGCCACCTAAAGGACTTGAGTTGTAGGCACTTTTCGTGAATACAAGACAGCACGGATGTTTGTGAAAGATTCCATAATGAACAGATTGTAGTCACGGTTCCTAGTGTCACCAAAGTCCAGCAGCACTGGCTGTAGTCAGTTTGCGGGCTGGCCTGTAGGGTACATGTCGTCTAAACTAGTAGTCTTCGGAAGCGGACAGTTATGTCACTATTCACCGGAGTCTATTCGATGCCCCCGCTCCATAGTAAAACAAAATCCTAAACACGCAACCATCAAAGTAAGCAATGAAGGGAATCCCAGTCGTCGAAACAAGTTTTTGACCATCCTCCTAGGAAGGGCCGTTGTCCATCAATAGTCATAAGAAAGTGATCTATGACTTTCGTTTAATCGTTCTCTCTCAGCTAGGTATCATGCCCTCTTTCTGGGAATTCGCAGAGTGGTGCGTTGTTTCTAAAAGGGGAAGGGATAAACTTCCTTTTCAATTTGACAATTGCATAGTCTAAAATAAAATATCTATTTATTTTAATCTTTGAACTTTTTTCAAGAACTTCATTTTTAATCTTTATAACAAATTCGTTTGCTATTAAAGTTGAATCTTAATTTACTAATAGTTAGCAAAAAATGGAGATATTCTTAAAATAAAAAAATAATAGTCTAAAAACCAAAAACGTATTTATTTTTTAAATTTTCTAAAAATCGTAATCAAATGTTTTTAAATACGTGTTACTGATGCATTCAAAAATTTCAATGTAAGAATATGAAACTTTTGAATTATAAATTTATTTGAGTGCTTTTAGCTTTAACAAACTAATAATTAATAAGGGTTACTTAATTTGTCAAAATTTTATAACTGACTATTTCTAACTATTTTATTACTTATAAACATTTTATTATTTATTATACTTATGATTATTTTATTATTTTCTGTTATTTATAATTATTCTATTTTATATTTGCAATTGATAAAATGCGTAATTTTATATCATTAAAATATTTTAATGTTAAATCTACGAAAGTATCAAAATTATATGGAATAAATCAATTTTAATATAAATAAAATAAATTTGCTAATTTAGTTTCCTTTTTTTTCCTTTTTTTTTTNTTTTTTTTTTTTTTTTTTTTTTTTTTTTTTTTTTTTTTGGTTTAACGTAGTAGCATTTTTTCATAAATACTAATAAGCATCTAAGTAGTGGCATCTTTTATAAATACTAATAAGCATAAGTAGCATTTTTTATAAGTACTTAATTTACGTAGTAGCATTTTTTGTAAATACTTGTTAGTTTACATAATCTGAAGAAAAAAAAGATTTGGATAACAATTTTGAAAAACTGCTTTTATCATTTCTCTCTTTCATTTTTTATTGTTACTTTTCTATATTTCGACTTATACATTTAAGCAACTTATACATTTAAACTATACATTTCAAGAAATAATTAAAATTAATCGTTAGTTTTTCACAAAACAATCTTTTTTCTCTTTTATAATATTTTTTGAAATAAATTACAAATTTCAAACATAACCAATACAATATTTTTTTACAATTTAATAACTTATCTTTTTTTAGAAAATTGCATTTCTAATTGTTGCACATTATTGAACTAGATTTGGTAATATAATCTCTGCTATTAAATGTTTGTCTTTTATTACCCTCTTACATTGAACCCAACTCAAAACACAAGGGTGTCAAGTAGTCACGCTTGATTTGTCATTACATGTAAGAATTTTTAGATACACAATTTCAATGTTTTCATTCTAGCCATAAAGGTTACTAGTGATTTTTTTACATGTTGTACCAAGCACAAATGCGCGTGTAGATTGGAGATGAATAAAACAATCCTTAAGTTTCCAAAAAAATTTTGGTAAAATCTTCCAGAAAATACAACGTAGTATGTAATCAATTACATCCAGTAATCAATTTCCAGTAATCAATTACAGCCCAAATATCAGTGCAACACTCAAAATACAAGCTTTACAGATAACGTGATATTAATTAAGAAGAATTAACACATTTTAATTCCGCCTTTTGACTTATGAAATTGAAAGATTTTGATATGCAGCACTATAAGTTCATCTCGTACTTAATGCACATTTTCATTATCTTCGTTAATATAAAATTATAATTTAGTGGGCAAGATGTGTAATAATTAAAAAAAATGAAAACAGTTTATTATTTTTTAACCAATTGAATTTGATACAAAAAAAAATTCTTCAAAGAAGAAGTCTGTTTTCATAACAGAAAATATTGAATTATTTATTTAAATTATGTTAAACAAACTGTCTTAGAAAGTGATCCGGAAATGCTTTCCATCTTATATTTTATACATAAAAGAAAACTACTGTGTACCTTTACGGGATTGTTAAAAAAAAAAAAAAAAAAAAAAAAAAAAAAAAAAAAAAAAAAAAANAATAGTAATTTGGATCAGCCAAACAATTTTATATCTTTAACTCTCCTTTTATTCATGTGAAAATTTTTCACATGAAATAATTCGTTTCATATTAAAATTTTACTCCAATTTTGGCTCAGCTAGACAATATTATAACTTGTACTATCTGGCTATATTTTCTTTAATTTGTAAAAATTGTGTTCTGCTGAATAAATTTATTTGCGGTAAGGTTGTTTTCAGTGAATTTATTTACAGTAAGTTTAAGCCAATCAATAACATAAATTTACTATCTTGTTGAACTCTATGCTTGATACAATGAATTTATTGTAAATTTATTTTGGTTTGGTTAATCTTTACAATTGTGGAATATTTCTTAATGTTATGCATTTAATAATTTCTAAGAATGTATTAAGCTATGAAATTGTTAAGTTCATATTTAAAAATACATTACTTGTCTAAACTCTTCATATAAGACTTAGTTATTGTTATTTCAATTCTTTTAAATGTATGTAAAGTAATTTAGTGATATTCGATTGTTAGTAACAAATTTAAAAGCTATTAGACTTATTATTTGATATCAATATAATAAAAAAAAATTCAAATGCAACTTTGCAACTAAAAAATTTATTTCTGTTTATGTGTTGTGAAAATTATTTAGTCTGATATAATGTACTACTTAATTTCTGAATTTATTGATAAGTCACAGAATTAGTCTTCTAAGTTAAGCATTGTAGTTAAATATTGTTTTAAATGAATGAATTATACTAAAAATTTAAATAAATTTTATTAAAACTAATACAAAAATTAATAAACTTAAAAAAATTTCTAAAATAAGTTTTTTTGCATGCATGCAAATTTGAATGTTTTGAGTAAAACCTAAATATTTTTCTAATTTAACCATAAACAAAAAAAAAGCGATAAATAATATATCAGTATAATATCTATATCTTAGGCCAGGATAGCCTGGTTGGCTAGACGTTGAACTCGTGTTTATGAGAACGTGAGTTCGAATCACGTCGGCTGAAGAATCCCGTGGTGACTGGGGCACATTAAATCAGTTGAGGTCGCAAAGTCTTCTAAGTTCTCATGACAAATCAATATCTCTGGGGATACTGAATTGGAGATTGATAGTTTTCTGGTTCAGGTTAAAATTGCGAGAATGAAGGAAGAATGATTGGGTCTTCCCTGCAAAATGGGAAATGACGTGTGTTGGACTAAAGTCGAATTCTTGGTCATTGATGGCGCCACTGAAAAAACAAGATACGTTCTTTTTGCCTTAAAAATTCGCTTGATTATTAAGCAGGCTTGCTGGTATTGGCAAATTGAATAGGTAACAACAACAACCTAAATCTTTTTATATTTAAAAGAAAGACAAGGAATTTCACGAAAGAAAAAAAGTTTCTAAGTTTCTGATAAAAGGAAGGAAAAAAAACATTGCTAAAATTTTTTCAGATAAAAAGGCTATAAGTGAAAATTTATTATTGAATTCAGTGTTATTTTCATTATACAATTTAAGGAGCATTCACACCGAATGTGGTCAAAATAAGCTAAATAGCTTGCTTTCACTAGAAGAATAATTAATAGAGGGCTCGTTATTAATGGCATTAATGTAAAGAGATTTTTCAAAATTTTCCTCTTCTATTTCAAAGGCGACGTCCAAGTGACTTCCTGCCTTTCGAAAAATACCCATATATTTACTTGTAGAAAACTCCAGCGACTTGTTTCCTTGCGATACTTTTTCTTCCTCAAATCTCTTAATTAAAATTAGCTGTGAAATCGACTAATAAGAACTCCAGCAATTTTTTCAGCTTTTTAGCATATTTCCTACATTAAACCGAAATTATTCGGTATTTCTATGAATTTGCAAAAGAGGTAAAAGGAGTGAGGCAATCTTTTAAGAACTGCTTCAATTGTTTGCAGAGTTGACCAGAGATAACAAGTAAAAGGTGCAGCCTTTAATATAATAACAATAAATTATGAAGGAAATTAAGATATAAAAGCTGGGCTGTTAAACAAGATTAGGGCGAAATGATAAGTCTGATGGTTTGCGAGAGATAAAAGTTTAAGGATTTTTAAATTATTTTTAAAATAAAGACGAGGAAAGTGTGACTTTATTTTTCAGGTGACTGGAAAATGAAATGTTATGTATTTGGAGATATAACTAACCGAGATATTTTTTTATTCATTGTATGTGCAAAATTCCGCACTGGGCAAAATCTAAGAAAACATATGTATTTACAATATTAAATGAAGCGACCATTATTAAAGCGTGTTATTTAATTATTATTATGTAGGGCATTATTAAATTTGTTACTTGAGAATCTCCCTTTCTCCTTGTTTTTTAAACGTAAAATGTTTGAAAACAACAGAGTGAGAAAAAAATTGTTTTTCTTCTATAATCGAGTTTCGGTTTCGATTTTGCTGTCACTTGAGGACTATTCTAATTATAAGCGATTTTTTCGCATGCGGACTAGATTCTGATTGGCGAGATTTTCGTTGGTAAATATTTTCCTCCAATCAAGTTCCCGCAAAAACTAGCAGCTTGAAATGTTTTATGAAAAGAAAACAACAGATATAGTGCGCTACCTGCTGGAAAGAAGGCAAGTTTATGTATATTTATCCTTATATTATCTTTAAACAGCTGTATTGCAGCTCAACTCAATGTTATTGTGAAAATAGATTTTGTTATTTCTGGTCGAACATTGGGTAAAATTTAGTTCTGTTCTGTTGCTCAATTTGACTTTAAAAGTTCTGTTCACTTTTCGGATATATTTTTGAATGTCAACCCAGTTTTTGTTTTTAGTGCTGATTTTCGGATGCTGATTAACTTAGTAGTGCATCTTCGATTGTCTTTTCGATGTGCTTTTTCATGCAGTGGATCAGCACATCTTCGATTTTGAAATCTGTTTCTTGCAATGGGCGCCAAGCAAAGCACGAACAACAACAGTACAAGAGATCAACCTGGCTCCAATGCATCCCCAATGGCTAGTACATCAGGGGGTTCTAGTGGCCTTGGATTATTAAATCTAAGGCAAAGAGACGGTGGTGCAACTGGCTCTGACTCGAGACAGCGAGCAAGGAGCTTATCTAATGTTTTGAATGGACACTCCGGACAGCCTATAAGTATATCACCCCAGCATGGGGCATTTGATATTTCAGAATCACCTGAACCAGACAGGAGTAATTTACCTGTGGAAATACCTATTAGTAGGGTTTATGCCGCCCATTCGTTGCCTGTGCATCTGGTATCGTTTAATGGTAAGTATTTTGATATTATATTGAAATCGTTAATTTATTAACTCGTGATTTTTGAAAATAATAATACAGACTCTGGGAATTAAGGATCCTCCTTAAGACTCAGGACTTCCAAATTTCTGGGTCCCCTTTTATTAGTAGTAGGATCTTATTAATATTATTTTCAGGTTCTTGTTTGATTTTATTAATATCAGGTTAAAATATGGATTCTCTACCTCCTTATCTATTTATTAATTAGTACATTCATAATTATTCTTTCAATTTATAGATGAAACAAAGAATTTCACAACAGTATTTGACAGTCAGGGATTTTTATTAGAACTGATCTAACACCTACCTCAAGGCAAGGAAAAGCAACAATTATATTTGATACTTAGAATTATTTTTATTTTCTCTTTCAGATAGTAATAAAGAAAAAAAAAGTTTTATGTTTTAGAAATAATTTTGTTTTTATAAATCTACTAAAATGCCATTCCTTTTTTTTTTTTTTTTTTTTTTTTTTTTGCATTTAGAGAGTTATGCGTTTCAGGAAAAATATCAAATCTTATTTTTTGCTTCCACTCTATGATTTTTGTTGTATTCAACACATTATAGTGTGCTAGCAGATTCACTGATAAGAAAATATTTATATTGCAAACTTTTTAAAAAAAACAAGAAAATGGGATTTAGCATTAAATATATAAATTTTTGTGTTATGTCATTCATTTCCTATATCATTAATCCTTAACATGGAATGTATCAATTTTATTGCTTTAAAATAAGTTTTTAAAATGAAACCTTTTTACAATAGGGTGCACTCTTATTTTGACAATTTTTGACATTGTTACAGAAAACAGAAAAAATGCCTTAAAAGTGATATTTTCAAATCATAAGAAATCATGATGAAAATAATAGAAAAATTGAATCTTTCCTATGTTGTCACAGCTAAGTTACAGTGTCAGAACTGTAGAACAACCTATTTTATGCTCTCATCTAAAGCACAAAATATGCACTGAAATAATTATTATTTACCGAGAAAATGAAATTATGGGGATATTACCATATTGTGATCTGTCACATCAACTACAATTTATAAAGGGCCAAATAGATTTGAGTTCTAATTTTTTTTTAGAATACTTGTAAAGGTTTGTTCAGGGGTTGCTACGAGTTATAAAAATAAACATTTAATAGTATCCTTTAACCAACAAATTTCTTTTTTTATTAACTATTTTTATTTGAATTAAAAAATTATAGTTTGTAAGTATTTTGTAATAATAATACAAAAAGTTTATTCAAATTTTAATATACATATCAGACACAGGAGTTTTTTCTTTGTTTGCTAATTCCTATTTGTCTATTTGAAAGACTTGTTTATTTGAAATTTTTTTGTTTTAACCATTATTGCTTATAACCCATTATTATTAAAAATAAACAATAAACCCTTATTAAAGAAGGATAATCAGGGGTGGTTGTATTATGGGCGTACTCCAGAATTGCAAGTTTTTTCCTATCATTCTTTTGAATTTAAGAACTAGGAGCAAGGCGCATGATTTTTTCCCAAATCAAAAATTTCTTAACCCGTCGAAACTTTCATGATGAAGCTCTGCAATATTAAATTTAAATCTATTTCATTATGTGATTCTCCTGCTAATTAACAGAAATTCATCAATGTCATTGTTTTGGTGTCTCAGATTTTTGTAATTTTGAGTATTTGAAACTGCCTCTGAATCCCCTTATTTACGAGATTTTAATATCAAACATTAATTTTCTCTTGTACCTGACTTAAAACCTCACACATTGCAATTCATATTAACGTGATTTAGTAATCGTGCATTGTGGTTTGTATTCCTGCGTTTAAAAATTAATATCGTAATTTGTATTAATACATTTGTAATATCTAACATCGATTTCCATTTTTATACACAATTTAAAAGTTGTATTCTCATGATCCAAAAGCCATGCATCATGATTTGCATGTTCACCCTTTAGAAATTTCATATCGGAACTTTAAAATCTAATATCGCAATTCTTGTAAGTATTAAGTTTTTCTTAAATTAGTTACTTTAAAGATTTGATATTCCTCTTTGATAGGTAGTGTAATTATAAATCTTAGTTCAAAAAATAATAAACAAATCTGGTGTAAAAATTGTTATCTCCATATCAAGTTTTTGCGCATAAAATTTTCAGGTTTTTTCACTTTGTGTCACAATTACCCATGGATGATTTCTAATCTATATTATGATGGTGTACTGATGGTAATGATGGTTACATTTCTTTGTAACATCAGTCAGATTTTATATTTTTATACTAAATAACAGTTATAAATTTCATTCCCTTTTCTTATCTGTGTTATAATATTAGGCTATTTGAAAACATTCTTTTTAATTTTTTGTAAAAAAAATATTAAATATTTATCCCAGAGAAAAAGTTTAAAAAATGAGAAAAACTATGAAAATATTATGTTATAGAATTGTCCAAATATGCTGTTTTGTAATATTAAATGAGAAATAATACTAAACAATTATCAGAAAATCAAAATAGCATACTATTATTCCTTTACATGGATTGCTGATCCATGAGAACGCTGATAATTTTTTGATGGTGGTCTGAGTCAAATTTTAGTGGTCCGATATACAGTCGTCCCCACTTAATCGCCCCTCGGATAATCGAATAACCCGCTTATACGAATAAAATTTAATGGAACCAAATCATTATAATTTAAACTATTGTTAAACTTCCCCGTTTAAACGGTTATTTGTTATTTTTTGCCCCCGCTTAATTGCATAAAGAAGTGGCACTGAAATGAGGGAAAAAAAAATTTCTTTTTGAGAAATGTTTCACCAGCTAAAATGGAATTTCCCTTTTTCAGTTAAGATAAGGATACAATAGGTGGTCATTTCAATAGAAACTTCTTATTCATTAGTAGGTGTTTGGGATGAAGATTAATCAAATCTTGCTGCCAGTTATACATTGAAGTAAACGAAGGGGGTTTCACCCCTCTTTGACTTACTTCACTCACACATAATTTAATATGTAAAAAAGGGATAGAGTGATTTGTTTTTAGGTCAAGACTTGTGGTCCCCTCTTGATGCTCTATTAGCTTTCATAAGAAAAAGTTTTAAAAACCTAATACATTAGTGTAAAGAGTGTCTTTCTCTTTAAGTAGAATAATTGCTTAATCCAGTGAATAATTTTTAGTTAGTTGCAAGTTGAGCGCGAAAAGGAATGATCTAAATTAATCAACAAAAAATCAATGAATCTTAGAAACAATAAATTTTAAAAAAATCCCCAACCAAAATAGCGTATTAACTGGGAATTTCTCAAGTTTCGAAGACGAAAAAAAAAAAAAAATTCTGAATGTGTTTGAAAGGAATACTCACAAGTCATGAAAATTTTAGTAGAAACTAAAATAGAATATCTAATTGTGATAAATTGATGAATTAAACGGGTATAAAAAACAGTCTTCAATCCTATAATTTTTCGGAAGGGATTAAATAATATTTTAGTTCCTACATTGTACTTTTCACTAACATTGATTTATTTTAATGTAACTTTAAATGACATTTTTTTAAGATACTAAGACAAAAAGCTTTAATTATAATTACTTATTGATCATAAAACTGAGCTTATTTAATTAAAACGCTATACTATGCATTTGATACCATTAAAAAGTAAAATTCCGAAAAAATTCAGAATTTAAGATTGAATATTACACCCCCCTTTTAATCGAATTACCCGCTTAATAGCATAAATTTGGCTGGAACCGATGGTATTCCTTTAAGCGGGGTTGACTGTACCTTAAATTTCAAAACCTGATTTGTTTGTACTTTGAAGATAAAAACAGTTGATAAGTAAGTAGAATGATATTAATATATTTGGGTAACATCTAAGTTATAGACTACATTCTCTTTTTTTTAAATTACTTTTTGCAAGACTATATTCCATGGTATTATAAAATTTATTGGTGGGTACTTTTTTCAGTTATAGGCAAATTCCGCTATTTTTATTTATTTTATTCATTTTATTTTGCGATTATAATTTTATTTTCATTAAAAAAATAAATATGGTTGAATTTACTTGTACCCGACTAATTAAAAAGTATATACCAATTTTTTTTTGTGTGAAATTGTAAATGAAACAAAATCAATACTTAAATAGGTGCTTCACTTGATTTTGTTTTTCTTCTTCTTCTCATTGGCACGACAGCCCAGGATGGGCCTTGGCCTTCTCAACAAGCCTATGCCAAGACATTCTTCCCTTAGCCAAGGTTCTCCAGTTAATTATCTTTAAAATTTGTAGGTCCTTTTCAAGGCAGTCTAAAAATCTTAGGTTTGGTCGTCCTCTTTTTCTTGTACCTGTTGGCCTGGCACAGAAAACTTTTTTGGTTGTCCTGCTATCCTCCATTCTTATGTTTTTGACCCCATTCATTTAGTTATATGAATTTGTAATAAATAGATGTTTTGCAGGAGATACTTATCTTGATCACAATTTTTTTTAAATTAAAAAATTTATACAAGTTATTTCCCAGCATATGATCATAAATGATACAAAATGGGTTGAAAAATTTCTAAATGGTTATCCTGCGATTTGCAGAAATTTCAAATAATTAAATCTATCTAATCTTCCGACAGCTTTTGAGGGCCATTAAATAAAATTTTAATGATTTTGTTGGAAGACTGCTCCTCAATGTCAAACATACTATGTTCATTCTGGCAAAAAGTTTTTCCAGAAAAGTTGTAGACGTCAGTATTACAATTAGTGTTATCTCAACTTCATCAATTTTGGGAATTATAGATATCCCAGATAGTGCTCTTCCTTTCCATTATATGAGATTTTTAAATCGCGTGAGTACGAATCGTGATGCGTGATTTTTAAATCGCGCGATTACGAATCGCGATACGTGATTTTTTAAACCGCGTGAATACGAATCGCGATGTGGTATTTTTAAATTACGAGATAAAGAGTCATAACGTTTGTTTTTTAAACCGTGTGGATACGAATCTTGATTTTTAAATCGCATGAAT